TTAAAGATTTGGTTGACTGACCTTCCACTGTGGCCCAACTTTGATGTGGATAGTTGTCTTCTTATCCCAAAGAATAGTGATGTCTTTCTCTGGGAAATACACCACTGTGTAGTGCCCAGCCTTCCAGAGCTGATATCTAGGTTTACTTTCCAGAAAAAAACCTGATCGCTTCTTCCAAAGAGAGGGGGAGAGAGAAAAAGAAGTAAAAACAGTATCATGTTATCTGACCAAACTGTAACAAGTTAATTAAGTTAAGATCTGCCAATAACTAGCTATGTACTAGTGTTGTTGCTAGGTCATGTCTCTTCTGATTCTGTATGAAAAGAAAAACTAACTGCATAAAATAGGAAATATTTAAGAGTGATAATCAGACACAAACTAGTAGATGGTTCAACATGGATAAATCAACAAAAATAAAAGGTATTTCAGCTATAGGGTACGACCACAGAGGACTTTAAGGGAAGACCCTGCTGAGTTGGAGACCCTACATTAGTAATGAATAAATGGCTGAGAACTAAAACCATAAGACCTTGCCTGCAAAGAAGAGAAATTTGGTCTTGCTCACATTTGTGAGTAGTTAAGGACAGCATGAAGATAGTCTACTGACATTCTCAAGTATGTTTTGAAAAACAAAATTATTGGTTTTTTTTTGAAAAACAAATTTTTTCAAATTTGTCTTTGAAAAGCAAAATTATTGATTCACAATCCAGTGAAAATTTCTCTATAATATAGAATTTGATAAGAACAAAAGCACACACATACACACACGTACACATACACACATGCACACATATTACATACATATATGATTTGTGGGGGCAAGGAGACAGGAGAGCACAAATAGTCAAATTAGCATCAAAGGGACTTAAGAAGGCGTTTTGCAGCCATGCATAGAGTAATTTAATCATATTTTATTATAATTTTACTGTGTGTAAACTTATGAAGATATTCAGAGTGTGTAGCACCATATAGAAAATAGATTGTAACAAATGAATCTAATTGCATTACAAACAAATCACATAACCAAACTGAAGGCTGGAAATGAGAATGGAGAAGAAATTATTCCAAATTGAAAAAATGGCTTTTTAAAAGTCTGATTGGCAAGAACATCCAAGATTTGTCCAGAACTAAGAAGAGCATAAAGGGCTGAAGTATGAATTACATGATGAACACAGTCCAAGACCCGTTGTGATCAAGTTATCCATAACAGAGCAAATGTAGTCTATGAAGTCTTTTTAACAGGGCAATGTCAGATCATGTTTGTACATTAAAAGAAAATAATTTACCTACTAAACAGGGTAAAAGTAGTAGGGTAATTATAAATGGGACACATTGGGATATTGACTTAGAATACCTTTAGCATTGAGTAAAAGTATGCAATATTTTTGTAAACAGCAGCTATATCTTAAATATTATTACATTGAATATGACCTTGACAACAACTCATATAATAACTTCAAAAGTGCATGGTTATGTCAATGTAAGCAAAACTAATTTATTCAGAAGCAGAAAGATGGGAAGGAGATATGAAATCTTTTGTTCATTTTTCTTCCCAAAGTAATAACAAAAGCATAGTTTGAGAATACTATATTACAATGGTTTTTAATAAATATTTCAAAGGGCAAACAAAATAAAACCAGTCAAATACATAAAGAGTTTTGAGTCTCCTAGACCAAGTTTGCACTTATAACAGGCATGCATTATGGTATTGTTCAGAATACCTACATTGTATATAACCACGCACATTGTTAATTGGCTCCACCTAGCCTCACATCCTTCCACTCCCCAGTCCCTCCCTTCACTGACTAGACTCTAGCCATGCTGACCTTTCTGCACTTCCAATTTGCCCAAGTCCCTACCATCTCAGCTACTATATATCTGATATTCCTCCTGCTAGAAGCTTTCCTCCCAGACCTTGGCATGATTACCTCTTTCCCATCATCTGTGACCCATATGCTTTCTTCTCAGGGAGGCCTCTTTTAATTGCCTGCACAAAACTCTCACTCCCCAAATGGGCTGGATTGGTGAACCTATGGAGAGTGTAATGGTGAGACCCATGCTTAGAAGGGTCACCTCACTTAAGGTTGGATGCTCTGTAGTTGCCATCTTGAAATTCTAATAATTCTACTTTTGAATTTATATTTCATAAGTGAAGTTCAATGGGACAATGAGCATGTACCAGTGTCTGGAGACTGTCACGCCTGCCTTCCAGGTCCTGATGTCCCCCACCTCCTGGAATTGTTTCTTAGCTGCCTGTCTCTCTGCTGCACTCCACCCCACAGTACAGAGCCAGAGCAAGCTGAGGGTGGACACACGAGGAGCCAAGTGCCAAGTAGGAGCAACGGGGCAAGGCCATCAGCCTGCAAAGGTCTGCACTCAGCCCGTCAGTCCCTCGAACCCCACTAAGCACAGCATTATGTGATAAATAGAAAAACACGGTGATAACCATAAAAATTTTTTTTTTCTGTGTTGAGCAAAGGTCCTCTCATTTTCATTTTGCACTAAAACCAATACTTTCTATAACTGGCTCTGCCTCCAAGTCATTCTTTGCCATAAAACCTATTTTTATTGTTTTCATTGCATCTTTCAGTACCTTTATATTATCCTATTTGTCTTGGAATGTATTGTCTTCCCCCTACAGGTTGGTTTTAAATCAGTTATCCCCATACAAAAGCACATCTTTTCTATTCGCCTTTAGTGATGAAATGCTTCATTTCATTAGGTAACACAATTTATTTTAAGAAAAATTCTTTTAGGTCAAAAGTGTTTGCTGTACTCCATACTTTTCAGATTACAAGATAATGCTCCTTTTTAGAAGCATAAGGTATTATGAGTTGTCTAAAATATAGACATTCTCACTCCAAATGAGAATTATAGCCATTTAAACAAACTCTACCAATGTTAGAAAGATAAGATAGAAACCTAAATAACTAAAACATTTAAAGTACAATTTGGGGGTTGGGTTTGTGGCTCAGTGGTAGAGTGCTTGCCTAGCATGTGTGAGGCACTGAGTTTGATTCTCAGCACTGCAAGTAAATAAATAAATAAAATAAAGGTCCATCAACAACTAATAAAAATATTTAAAAAAAGAATTGCCATTTAAAAAAATAATAAAATACAGCTTGACTAAATTAATAAGATATTTATATTCTATATATTTGATTAAATTAGAATTGTGCATTTATATTTTTTAAATGAGGGTTTTTTTATATTTCCTGAATGAGCAGTCCATAAAATAAATGGTACTTATTTTCACTTTTGATGTTCAAGAAAAAATATTAGCAGGAGATTTATTATGGTCAAACTATTTTTATGACTCTTCTTAATCTTATGTCATTCTTCAAGACCTACATAAAGGAAATTCATCAACACCTGCATTTGGGTGAAAATTGGAAGTTGAAAGTTAACAAATCTGTAATTACCACTTCAAAAATGTGTCAAACTGTCTTTATAAGAGCATTTACTATTTTCTCCTCCGTTTTTTAAAAACATTCTTGCTCTTAGACAGAACTTTAACCTGTAAATGAATATCCAGCTGATGGTGAAGATAAACTGCTCTAATTACTTCAAAAAGATCTCAACATGACTACAGAAACTGTTTCCCCCAAAGTTTAACTGCTGCCTAGTTGATATCAACATTCCTACCTGAGATGTAAGCTATTTTCCAGGGTAAAGGTTCTCAAATTTAAGTGTGCAAAAGTACTTGGGGTACAATTTAAAATACACTCTCATTTTTAACCTAAGACATCCCAAATACTGAGACAGAACACAGAAACCAGCATTTATAACAAGTGTTCCAGATGACTTTAATGATAAAGATTTCATTAAGCTTAGAGAAAATGTTCTGAAACCTCAGAGGTCACCATTTAAAGGCCTTTCTTCAGACAATTTCTTACCTATAAAATGAAGTTCAAATATCTTATGTCATTCAAGAGCCTCCATAGTCTTCCCCCAGCCTTTGCTGCTATGCCTCCAATACTCCTGCTGATTGGAACACTTCTTCCTGGATCCCTTTGCCACATCCTTCATCCATTATTCCATATGCTATGCTTCCATCAAGCTAAATCACTTGCAGTTATCTAGACATATATTTCATCTTCCAATTCTGCTCCTTAGTGTGACATTCTTCTGTATTGCCATCTTCATCCCTCTCTTTGTCTAGCTAATACCTACTCATCCCTTAGTATTTCATTCAAATCATTACATCCAGAGCATGCTTTCTGAGTATTCAAAGGTGAGAAGGATGAAGAAGAGGAGATCCATTCCTTGAAATCCACTATTTTATATTTTCATTTCAATCCTCATATGAAATTAAGAAATAGATACTATAATCATCCCAAATTTATGGATGAGAAAGAACAGCTTGGAGAAGTTAAGTGAATTTAAGAAGATTGACATAGCTCACATGTGACAGACAGGGGTGCTAAGTAAGTCCTGGCTGACTACAAAGTATATGCCCCTAACATTTACCATAAACATCCTAGGTTGTTTCCGAGATTTCCTCTATTGACCTTTATAGACTTTAGTCCTGGCATATCAAACTTCACACCCTTATTTACTTGAGTGTAAGTTCCTTACAGGCAAGCATAGCAGTATCTTCTCACTGTTGTAGCCTCATTACTTAGCACAGGTTTGGGAATATAGTAGACATTATGAAAGAATGAGTGAATGAGAAAGTGAGGGAATGAAGGAAACTTTCATTCTTTTAATCCAGGCAGGCTCCAAGGAAAAAAGAATAAATGATAGAAACAATGTCACCAGTACTCGCATAGCTCATAGACAACTGGGGAAACAAAAAGTTTCATTAACCGTGATGCATAATCTAACAAGAGTGAGGAGGAGCTCCCTGCAGAAACGAAGACATATTGCACCAGAGTAAGTTAATTGGAAATACAGATCCAGGTGGAAGCAATGGCATTTCATGAATAACCAAAAATGAGTCAAAGAACCTAGAGCATGTGGAGAATTGATGAAAAGCTTCAATTTTTAGAATGTGGGAATGAATAAACATTTCTGTTTTAGGAAAACCACTTTGGATGCAGTATGTGAGGCTGGGTTAGAGAGGAGGAACTAAGACTGGATACCAGGAGTCCAGTTTGGAGGCTTTTGAAGGAATCCAGGTAATAGGTGTTGATGGCTAGGGAAGGAAGAAATGGGGAAAGAATTGGATAATTAAAAAAGTAGAGTATAAACAGAAAAGACAAGGCGTGTGTGAAGCCACACACACAAAAAAAATTACCAAAGAAAGTCTTGATCTCATAACTACTTAGAGAAAGAAGTACCCTAAATTATTTCTTTTCTATTTTAAGTATCTTCAGGGCAAGTTAAAATGATCCTGAGAGAAATAGTTCACTAACCTGTTTGTAAGGAGTATCGTTCAAGTAAATTTCAGTGTCCCCAACTGAAATCAAAACACTTTTAGAACAAACAATATCGTTGTCAAAGCATTTCTTGTTCTGGGCAATGACAGATATATCTGAATCATCCGTGCTCTGTAATGTCAAAAACATTTCATTAATATAAATACACACAATATATAACTTCAGCTATTGAATAAACTATATTAAAGAAGAACAAGATTTATAATATATTGCATTGGAATTGAAAAACAATTTGCTTCTAAAATAAAAATGAAAATTATTTGTATCTAACAATGTGAAAAAATTTATGGAAAAGAAGCTCAATCCTAAACACTTACCTCTAAGCCCTCTGTTAACATTTATTCTAGCAAAACTTCCTTTCCATATAGTCACTATAGCTCAAACTTATCAACAACTGTCATTTTTTTATCAGTAAATATTCAACAAGACAATGAGGCAGTTAGGAAAATCTTAAATATTTTCATTTTAGACAACATGTAAAATAAAGCAGAAAGCTTGGTTTTAGGGAGTTTTCAGGCTGAATGATTATTGACTACAAATTAAAATAGATATAAAACCCTTGGAATCAGTTAGTAAATAAAATAATGCATATTATTTGAGAGTTTGCTTTGAGTGTTATGTATGATACCTTATTTAATTCTTATGATACTTTTTGAATGTGATATTATCTCCATTTTACATATCAGGAAACTGAGGTTAAAAGGGATTAATTGATTGTTCAATGTCTCTTAAAAACTAAAAGGCAGAATTTAAATCCCTAATCTGTTTTGTCTCACTTTTATATTTCTAGTAAAGAAATTAGGGGGCTGGGGATGTGGCTCAAGCGGTAGCACGCTCGCCTGGCATGCGTGCGGCCCGGGTTCGATCCTCAGCACCACATACCAACAAAGATGTTGTGTCCGCCAAGAACTAAAAAATAAATGTTAAAAAAAAAATTCTCTCTCTCTCACTCTCTCTCTCCTCTCTCACTCTCTCTTTAAAAAAAAAAAAAAGAAATTAGGAAAGGTCTAGCAATGGTTGAAGAGAAAAGTAAGCTTTAGGCTACCTTTATAGGAAATTATAAGTTTCAAAGAACATCACTTAGCCTTATACACTCTAAATCTAAGGTGTATTTAGATCCTTTCCATAGGCCACCTTTATGAATGGGCTTCTTAGGTTTGGCACACCTCAGAAATTCATTATAAAAATTATACTATATATATATTACACATATTTTTTCAATTTTCAATTTTCAATTAGAGATTATAATTACATATACTTGGGTAAAATGTGATGAAATAATATATGTATACAATATGAAATAATTAAATCCGGCAAATTAACATATTCACTAACTAACTCATATATTTAGTTTTCTCAGAAGAAAGTTCATGGTTTTTGTCCAATTTCCAAAGCAGTCCTGATCCCCCTAAAAGTTAAAAACTACTGCCTTGTAGAAATCATTTCGCTTAACTCATGGGAGAATTTCATCAAAAGGAAAGAAAGGAATGTGACATTTCCCTTTGGACTCTGTGTCCAAGTTTCAAAGGCCCACAAACATTTCCTGAGGCTTCATTGTGAGACAGGTAAGTCAGTGTCTAACTTCATGGTGAGAAAACATCATCCAAGGTTTGGAAACTTTTATAAGGTCTTCATGTAAATTCTCCACACTTGGTTGTTCACATCACTAGCAATATGAACATGAAAGCAATATATCTTTTAGTTTGGCAAAAATCCATCCTGACTGATTAGTATCACTACAGCCTAGTGCCTAGAGAAAAGGTTTTTAATGAATGGTGCTGACGGAGTAATTAATATGTCTTTATGTGACCCATTTTTCTTTGATAGGTGCTGAGAGCATTTGCATCTTCTTTGACAATTCTTTTGCAAAGCATTTGCCTAAATTTTGAAAAGCAAAATAATAAGGGTCATTAAGATGATATGACATTGTACTACTAAAAAAATGCCACATATTTATGCTTTTATGAATAATTTTCAAAGAAGAAAAATATATAATTCAGGGTTTTGTTTTGTTCTTTCTCTCAAGAAGAGTTATTTAGATGGAAGAATGAGCAAAACTGGCTGAAAGGCTTTCCATTGTCATTACCCCTCTATTGCTATTAATTACCGTTTCTTAATGTTAGCTTCATTCTTTATATTAAATCAGGGATGTCAAGAAATAATTTATATTATAGGGTCTGCCTTACAATAGCATGTTCTACTGACAGAAATTTGAAAGAATAGAAATGTCTAAGAGTCATGTTTTTAAAATTTCCATTTCTAATTTATTTCAAGTTAATATTAGGTTTGGAAATAATGCCACAGAGTTGCTAGGCAACATAGTAAGTAATGATTACAAAGTGAAGGGAAAAGGTCAATATCGATGTGTTACATAGGTTCCTCAAAACTCTTGTTCTCTTTTTTTCTGAAAACATTAATAGAGAATATTCCTCCAAATGATTTCAAAACTTGAGCTGTCAGCACCTCTCAAGGTGGTATACTATCATACTCCACATCCATCTCTGAACCTGTCATAACCCAACCCCCTTTAAGGATAACTACCCCCAAAGGAAGCCTCTGCTGATAGAGTAGTCTAAGGACAAATAAGTAAATAAAACAGGGTCTAAAACTTCAAGATTTTGTTTGGTTGGTTGGTTGGTTGGTACTAGGGGCACTTTACCCACTGAGCCACATCCCCAGCCCTTTTTTTAAAATATTTTTTAGTTGTCAAAGGGTCTTTATTTATTTATATGCTGTGCTGAGAATCAAACCCAGTGCCTCACACATGCTAGGTAAGCGCTCTACCACTGAGCCATAACCCCAACTCCTCCCCAGTCCTTTTTCATTTTTGGAAACAGGGTCTCACTGCATTGCTTAGGGGCCTCACTAAATTGCTGAGGATGGCTTTGAACTTGGCCATCCTCCTGCCTCAGCTCCTCAGCTGTGGGGATTACAGGTGTGCACCACTGTGTCTGGCGTCTTCAAGTTCTTATGAGATCCCCAGCGACTGAGGGCTTTGTGGAGAACAAAAGTGTGGAAAGGTAGAACCTGTGAGACCCATTGTTTTAAGAACTGGAGAAAGGAGCCACCAGAGAAGACTGAGGGAATCAGAGACAAAGGACTAGAATCAGCAAATTTACATCAGAGAAGGCAAGGAAACAGAGACTAAAAGAAGAAATTTTAAAAATTTCATTGAATTTTGTATTTGCATTTAGGTAATTATTCACTTTTACAGTAATGATTTTACATGAATTTTGTAATTAAATGAAAAACAATTCTCCCCCACCAACCTGAGGTTCAAATAAAGGAAGGCCACATCTATTTTCACTCATCACGGTTCCTCCACTTCTCAGTTTAGGGCCCAGCCTATAGCAAACACTAAAGAAATACTGTGTAATAACTACTCAATGTATCCAAATTTGAAAGTGATGAAATTAGGAAAGTTTTTAGAGGCTTCAGGAGAGCAGTGAATATTTGCAGTATTACTTGAAGAGAAAATTGAAAAACCTCATCTAGAACAAATGGCATAAAACCTAGCTGTGCAGGGGCTTGTCATAGATTTCATGGAAGAAGCATTTGGCTCTGAAATCTGGGAGCTGGAATAAATAATTGCTGCCCATTTCTGCTGAAGTCACCAAGTTTCTCTTTCTTTGAGTTCATAGCACAGCTCAAGATGCTGGTGTCTGGGAAACTTGGTGGAGGGTTCTCTCATCTTTTTTTTTTTTTCTCTTAAACCATATCTTACTTCAAGAAATAGTTATGACCTTTTTCCTAAATTTGTTTCAAGACATTAAAAAATAATTTGCTCTATTCTTTGTGCTATTTATAGTCAAAATCAAACAACCTCCATAATAATAAAAGGTCAGAGAACATGCATTTTTGAAATTAGGGTAAGTGGTCTGTCCCTGACCTTGGTTACATTTAAAAACACACAATTCAGAGATAAGAAAAAACCTACTTGAAATGTTTTCTGCACAATCACTATTTGAAAACACCTCTTCAAATGTGAGGTCAAAAAAAATATGTTTTTAAAATAAAATTAAATATTAACTTTTTAAGAGTCCATTGGAAAATAAAAGGGAAATACTTTTGAATTTGATAAATAGGGCCCAAAGAAATAAAAGACCAGTTTCACAAGACAAAAAGATGTTATAAGTAACAAAGATAAAGGCCAAATGTTTTCTCTGTTAAGTAGATACTGATCCATAATGGGGGGTGTGTGGGGTATGGGAAGAATGGAGGAACTTTGGATTGAGCAAAGGGAGGGGTGGGTAAGAATTATGGCAGAATAAGACAGACATCATTACCTTAGTTACATGTATGATTGCACTAGTCATGTGATTCCACATCATGTATAACCAGAGAAATGAAAAGTTGTGTTCCATTTATATACAATGAATTGAAATGCATTCTGCTGTCATGTATAACTAATTAGAACAAATTTTTTTAAATTAAAAAAAAAAAAGATAAATCCTGGAATTTTTCATCGACACACAAAAAGGAAAGAGAGCAGGCTGAGGAGGAAGAAAGAATTAAATCCACCATTCACAGTGGTGACTCCTGACACTAAGGCAGAGTTAATGAAAGGTGCTGGCCTCTCAAAGGAAATACTGATTCTGCCAGAGGAAGAAAGGCTCCTTCATAGCAGCTCTTGGCATTTGGAGTACGCAAAACCAAAATGCCACCAAAGAAAAATTAAGGCAGAAAATAACTCAAGCACTGTGGGGTTCGATTTGCCATAATCATATTTTAAGACTGTAAAAATTAAGTTGCATTGGCAACGTTGTCTTTGATATGCAGTAACCATGTTTCATGACCAAAGGAAGTGTTTTTTAACTTACCAAGTATGTTTTGGTTAATTTGTCCTGGAACATTTCGGGGCCTGACTCTGGCTTTATTAATTTTAGTGAAATTTCCCATGGATAATAACAAATTGCTAGTATAATTATAATTTATTATGAACAGTAAGAATAGGATTGGACTGTGAGCTGGAAACATCTCTTTGAGGGAGAAGAGGAATTCACATACAGAGAATCCCCTGAGAAAAGACATAGAAAAGAGAGGGGGCTAATGGAGACTTCTAAAGGACCGGCAAAGGCATCCTGACTGTGAGGCAGCTCACTGGACGTCACTAAGGTTCTTAGTAAACAATAACATAGTGGCAGGATGAGTAGTGGGAAGATTTATAGAATAGAAAGATGTATTATTGTAAATCTGAGTCAGAAAGACAGGCTTGCGGTTGAGGGTCAGAGCTATGACTTGTTGACTTGGAACGCATCAGCCTGCAGGTATGGCTAAGATGGTAGGAGTGGACAAACTCGCCAGGCATTAGAGGAAAGGGCAGAGAGCCAAGAATACACAGTTAGTTCCATCAACATTCAATACCCATCACTCTTCCCCAGCTGGGGCTTCCTTCCTTGTGAAATAATGGTTACTAAAGACTTGGTCTTTACCCTGAGGGAGCCAACTCCTTCATCTAGAGATGGGGGCTTATGCAAGAAGAAAAGGCAACAAAAGTCAGAGAGGAAACCAGAAAAGATATTAAAAGACTCAAAGAGCACACACCCAGAAAGTCAAAAGCAGAAGTAACCTAAAGGAGTAGCAAAGGCACATATATATTAAAGAAAATGAGAATTAGATCCAAAGTCAATCTGAAAGTTTTGAGGAGAAATCTGTGTATGCATGCAAATCTATAAACTATTAAGTATCTTTTCAAGCTTTTGAGTTTATGATCTATCTACACTTTGGGGAATGAGAAGATTCTAACATGGAATTGCTTGCTAAAATGTGGCTTATTTGAAGAACACAAATAAAGATAGAATGGAATGCATATTTGTTATTTCACCTTCCTCATGCTTCAAAAATAATCAAAACAACACATGTATATACACACACAAAACCGACAGGAAAGTACTTACCATCCTCTCTGTATGACTACCAAATTCATTCCCAGAATGATTTTAAGTTTCTATAAGAAATTTAAAATCATTCCTAAAAGAGATAAGTACTAATAGGGAAATTCAATAGCTTAAAATATATGCAAAAGCTTTGCTTCCATTTAGAAAGTACAGATTTTACTGTTTTTTTATTTTTAATATAATTAATACAAAATGAAAATAACAGTCTACTTTCTTGATATAGGGATGTAGTCTACTTTCTTGATGAAGGATCACACATACACCTCTAATAACATAAAAGCCATACCCAGAAAAATAATATGCATTAATTGCATTTTATTTTGCTGGAGGGAAAAATGTCATTTAGTGTATTCTTGTGTGGATCCTTTCTAAAGTTTACATTTTTCATTTAGAAATTTACTTCTGGCATCAATGATGTCTAAATAAAATTTAGGTACACAGGTAATCCAAATATATTACATGTGTGAGAGACTTTAAGGATTTTATCAGATATCTAAAGACTAAAACTTACCAAAGTAGCATTTCTAGAATTAAGAATAATCTCTCATTATCATCACAAAAAATACATAATCCAGTGTATGGTTTAACATATTATATTTATATTCATCAAACCAAGTTAATAATAAGAAGAATGGTTGATATTTATAGATCATCATTATATATCAAGCACTATCTAAGCATTTTACACATTTATGACATATTTTTTAAAATTTTTTTTAGTTGTAGATGGACACAATACTTTTATTTTATTTATTTATTTTTATGTGGTGATGAGGATCAAACCCAGAACCTCACATATGTTATTTAATTCTCAAAATTAACTTGGAGCCACATACAATTATTATCCTCATTTTATAGATTAGGAAACAGAGGCACAGAAAGCTAAAGAACTAGCCTACCACCTACAAACGGTAAAACTTAAAAACGAGTTCAGGAAATTTGTTTAAAATTGCTGTGACTTTCATAAGTTTTATTAATGATACATGAATTTATATGTCACAGATTAGTTTGTTTTCTTACTTATCTACCCTTTTCTCCTAATGTCTGATATACTCATTTACCCCTACAATCTTAGCCATACCTACAGGATGATGTATTCCAAATCTACAAGTTACATCTCGGAACCTCAACCACCGGGTTCTTTCTGAGTCAAGTTTGTCCCTTTTTTTTTTTTTTTTAATATTATCCTCCTGCTAGTTCAAGTAAAAATGAGTAACTGTGACTTACCTTTATCAAAAAAACCTGGCAATCACTGATGTAGTCATATTCCAGACCATCAAAAGAATGATAATGCCGGTCCCCATAGATTGTACACACAGCTGGGCAAGGATAATATGTGCAATTGAACATTCCTCGTCGACAAACACTATTAAAAAATAACACAAGTTACCTTACGAAGAAATTGGCTCTAATTGGTGTTTTTCAAGTGGCACAAAAAATAGGATATGGTGTGTAGGCAAGAGCATTCACTGAGCCAATAACTCATAAAAATACTGCCAATCATTCTCATAACACCTACTACATTGACAACTTAGGCATATGTTTATCCCCTCATTTAAATATATTGTCAGACAGAAAAATCAAGCCTACAGTTGTGCCTGGGTCACATGGAAAATAATTAATGAAATGAAAACTGAACATTGGTCTTTGAACATAAGTCTGATAGTGAACCAAAAAAGCAAAATGCCATCTCCTGTATTTAAGTCAATTGAATACTTGACATGACTTTAGAATCTTTGTCTCTATTTTAAGGAAATTATATTTCAAGTTGTCTTTTATGGTATTGTTTTCATTTATTTCCAAACAGAAAAGCTATCATTAAATATGATCTCTTTGGAACATTTTAGCATTTTCTTACACATTCAAGATACTTTTTCCTATTAAATTTTCAAATTGTCGTATTTCTCACTTTTCTTCTAGGTTGAACAAACACATAAAAACAAGGGTATGGTGCCCTTGTAGATAGTAGCTCTCCACCAAACTCCTGGATGCCTTTAAAACCTTATTTCCTCAGGCTTAATTTGTACATCAAGTAAATTCAACAACATAATTGAAAGTCATACAATTGCTTAGGAAAGTTTTTGTGAAATTAATGGATCTCATTACCAGGTGTAACAAGGTGTAGCAATCACTTCTCCTGAGAGATACTCCCAGTCTTTCCAGATGCAAGGACAGCTTTCAGGAACATAGCACTTTCCCTTGTGCTCTGCCATCCTTCCAGATGAAGAAATAAGATAATCAGTACAGTCTGCTAAATCCAGTTTTAAAAAAAAACCACTAATCTCATCATATTCAACACTGTCTTTTATATTTACTATAGCTGTGTAAGGCATATTCTATCTGATGAATTGGGGGATTGAATCCAGTCTTTCTCCCACTTTTTAAATATATGTCACAGTATTAAGTAAAATGCCAGGCAAATTGACTACATGTGATATTTTTACCTTTTTGTTATTCACATAGTACAATTAAAAAAAAGAAACAAAGGCCTAAATTCGTGATAAAGCAAGTTATTCTGAAAAAAAATGTTTAAAGAGAAAGTAAAGGACACTATCCTCACTATTTGCTATTTAAAGATTATCTGTGGGGATCTCATAACTTTTTGATGAAATAGTAAGTTATGAAATCAATGACATTTTCTACTACAGGACACAGAAAGAGCAAAAGCATCTTTCTGAGCACTTAGAGTTAAAATCATGAGAATTTTGTTTAAGTGTGCTTTCAAGTAAAAATCTATCATATCAAATATTTCATGTTCTTTTTCATTAACATGATTTTTGAGTGTTAGTTACTTTTGAGGTGTTATCTCCCTCTTAAAATGTCACTCTTTTATGAAAAAGTATCTAAATGTATCTTTAAATATAAAAATTAAAACATATATACAAATTTTGTTTTAAAATATAATATAAATATTAATATGAAATTACTGTCAGAATAATTGATTTTAGTGTGTTAAAGTATTTTGATATGAAGATTAAATATATATTATATGTAGAATTTTTTTCAATGCCCTCACTACAAATCTTTACTCAATATTAAAATTGTTTTCTAAAATCTTTCATAATTTATAATAACTAATAAATATTAATATAAGTAAGTAATAAATATGAAAGAGATATATAATAAATATAATAATTTAAGTATATAATATAGTAATAAAATAGTAAATTTAAAATAATTTATTATGTAAATCCATGAATTAATTTATGAAATAATGTATTATTAATTACAATAAAATAATAAAAACAAATAGCTGCTAAAATAGAAAAAATATATAATTTTTCTCAATTTGCTTTAAAGTATAATAATTCAAATAGAAATAATGACATATGTTTCTTTAGGGCTCAGCTGTCCTTCTCATAGTTCTTCTTACTTAGGATTGTGCTTCCTCATTTGTATATGCTGTCTATAGCCTTTAGGAGGACCAGGAATATCCTGTCGATGTTTCGGTCTCCATGCCTAGCATATAGAGGATACTCAGTTGTTGAGTAAAAATGGACAAAGAAACTTATGTGTACAAATGATTATGTATAAGCTTATGTGTATAAATTCTTTCACACAAAAAAATACCCTAGATTTTAGAATCTTTCATCTCAGCTCTCCCAAACTTCTTGTCATTCCATCTGAGCTTTGCATTTTCCTTCTTTCCAGAAAACCCTTCTCATCATTTAAGTTTCAATTGAGTGCAATCTTCTCAGTGCAGTCTTTTATATCCCCAATCCCCACATATGCTCCCCGCTTCTTAGTAATTTTTAAAAAAAATCTTTATTGGAGGGCTCATCACAATGAACTAAGCACTGATTAAAAGTCTTATAGTAATAACAGGGACATCAATAACAAAAAACAATATTCTTGACTACTACGACCCAGACACTATTCAAACCATTTTAAATATGTCACTAACTCATTTTATCCCAGTTATACTACCCTACCATTAGATACGGTTAGTACCTCCTCTTGATCCCCATAGTGTCCCAAACACTGGGTGTTTCATAAACATTAATTGTCTCACCCAAATGAACCTTCATACCCACTCAAAGTAGTGGTTTTAAAAATGATTATGTATGCTGGTGAGTTTTTTATAACTGATCAAAAACTGGAAGTAGGAACGGCGGAGCACAAATCACTGTAAATTAACTTCTTTAAGTAGGTTTGGGTAGTGGGGTGTGTGATAAACATTTACTGACTCCTACCACATTACTGGTGTGCTGCACATGCTCAACCATCTGTGAAATAAATATCATGGCATCCATTTTAAAAAGAGGCAATCAGTACTCCAAGTGAGAAAGTAACTCACCCTAAGATTTACAACTAATGAGGACCAATATTTAAAACTGTTATCTGACTTTGTGTACTATTCTACTTTCCATCTCTTCAGTCCACAGCAATTTCTGAACTAGAGTTATAAGGTCCTTTTATAGAGAATGAACTTCTGGCACTACCAGGCCTCATGAAAACAAGTGATACTAGGCTATTGTCCCAAAATGAGCCAGATAAGGTCACATGGAAGACAAAGAAAATCACATTGCCATAACTGACTTCATAATACAAGGTCCTGTTAATAAAATTATTTCCAAACCAATTAGAGGCCTCTAAGTCAATTTAAGCTATATTAAATACAATCACAGAAGGTAGAAGAGAATTTCTGTGTTCGTAATGAGATTTGGCCAGTAAATAAATAGAACGAAGCCAGAGGTATCAGTAAATAGATGATTTAAAAAAAATAATAGCATTAAGCACACTTTATGAAACAAGATTAGGAGATGATTTTAATCAGCCTTGAATCCCTAAGAATCATAATTAAATCAAATAAATCAAACAATAGTGTAGGTTTTAATTTATTTACCATATATAGGTTTATCTTTCCTTTTCCTTTTTATTAAATATCCTCCTTGCTCATCTGTTCTATGGGCATTTGTTCTTTTGAGAACTTCTTTTCTCTGCCTCCTATGCCCTTCCTTTGTAAAGAGATTAATGCCAGTCCCACGTTATTTGGCTCTTCAGCCTATTCCAGATGGGGGCCATTTAGACAAAGGTGATTCTCCTGGGAACCAAACCACAAGACCTCTCTCTTCTTTGCTCATGGTTTATATGAGCTGATCCCCGGAATCTCTTTGTGTGGACATGTTCATAGAGGAAGAAAAGGTGACCTGTTTGCCTGAGATGGCTCTCCCCGTGCGGGGCTCCTCTATTCTCTACAGAGGAGGGAGGGCCTGGGAGAACAGATTTTATGTGTGCCTGCTAGGAAGCTATTAGTCTCCAGATTCTTTTCATCTTTCATGGGTACCAACTTCTCTGCAACTGAAGGAAATTTACAAAGATAAGAGTAGATGCACAGCCATAAAACAGTGACTCATATTTATTGAGTGCCCCCTACACACCACAACTCACAATGTCTAATTGAATTTCAAAAGGAATTTGCAAAAAGAATCCCTCAGCTAATTGTGGTAGAGTTGAGATTTAAGCTCCAGTTGTCTGAAGCCAGAGCTCCTACTCTTAACCAATTAATCTCTTAACCATTCCTCTGGTTAGCCTCAATGCACTATTTTCTGTAACATCCATATGATAAGGCAATTGGCATCACTATTACAACTTAGTATCAACAAGTTACTGCAGCAACAAAATATATAGAAAATACATATTTGAATGTTTCAAATGAGGAGTGATTAGTTGTGTCAGTTTTCAAAAATCCCAGTTGAACCAGGGAAGAAATTCCAATTTCATCCTGAAATAAGTTCTCTCCTCAATTCATGTATTACTTTAATAATACTATACAAGGGCCAGACACGGTGGCACATGTCTGTAATCCCAGCAGTTCGGGAGGTAGAAGCAGGAGGATTGAGAGTTCAAAGCCAGCCTCAGCAATTTAGCAAGGCGCTAAGCAACTCAGTGAGATCCTATCTCTAATAAAATACAAAATAGGGCTTGGGATGTGGTTCAGTGGTCAAGTGCCCTTGAATTCAATCCCCGGTACCTAATAATAATAATAATAATATACAATGTTACATGAATGTTACATGAACCTACAAAATAATAACAGTCTTCTTGCTACCAACTCAAAGTTAACCACTGATCGAAACAATAATGTTGGCTATTTCTGTAAATAATATTTTTAAGAGTTCTTATGCTTTCTGTCAAATCCTGAATGGTCTGTGTTATCAAGAAAAAAAATGTCTTACCCTGGAGCACAAACACAGCCACTTATACAGGGTGAAGATGGGGCACAAGTGAAGTTCATGGCCAAGTTTGCACATGTAGTCTCACAATTTACACCACCAGCTGGTAATTCAGGATGAGGAAACCTGCAGTCAAAATATTCCTTTCCTTCTGGGCAGGCATGAACTACAGAAATAAATCGCAGATGAAATGCCCTTAACTTTATATTTGCTCCATAGACAAATAATCCTATAGATTTGTCATTGAAACAAAAGTCACCATAGACTATTGCACCAGTTTTGATGCTCTTATTAATTCTATGATTTTTTAATTTAATTTTATTCTTTTTTAGTTATTGCTAGACCTTTATTTAATTAATTTATTCATATGCAGTGCTGAGAATCAAACACAGTGCTTCACACATGCTAGACAAGTACTCTACCACTGAGCCACAACCATAGCCCACCATTCTGTGATTTTTAGTTGATGGACTTACAAATATTCCCTAGGCAGCTTCTCTTTAGTCACAAAAGCTTCCAAAACTCAAAATATGAGTTTAAAATCCATAGCTGCCTTCCATAAGGCAGTAACTAATTCATTTATAATTTTCTGAGGTCACGAAACAGGCTATTTTGATTAATTCAAATGTGTATTTAAAATTTTTGAGGGCTGAGAAAACAATATATATTTAAACTTTTATAAAGCCACAACAAACAGAATATTTCTAGATCTTTCTTCACGATGAGTTATTACTTTCATCCCTATGTTGTAAACATATGGAAGTGAGTATAATAAAAGCCCAATCAGCACTGCCTGTTCTCCAGAGAGCTTTTGAGTTCTCAGGGATCAATAAGACCCCTTATGTGGGACCCAAAAGATAAATCTTAAGGATTCTTAAGTATGAGAAAGCTGGCTACCAGGGGTTCCCCTTTTAACTATACATCACCCTGAAGCAAATGGGGCAGAGCAGGAATGCCCTACTGAATATAAGTGTGATCCATCTCGTCTGTAAAGAAGCCCTATATTGACCTGAATACTCAGAAAATAAATCTAATGCATATAATTCAAAGCTAATTTACAGTAGTACATAATTGGCCATTCAAAAATTAACAAAGCAATAGCTCACTATTAATTTTATCAGCCTATCTATTCCTGTCCAATATAAATGAAAATAAGCATTATTATTTGTGTGGAATTACTCCAAAGTTGCTAAGAATTGGGGTTCTTTCTTTGAATGATGAAAACAAATATATAGGATCCCCTAAAACATAAGATCATCAAGAAAGCTATTCAAGTGTAAAATGACGGCTAAGGAGATATGACAACAGATGTCCTTTTGTATGCCATTTTTAATAGATTGCTACCAGACCCAGATCCTTGCTACTCATAATGTAGTCCAGGAACATGCAGCATTGGCATTGCCTTGGCCATTGATAAGAATGCAAAATCTCAGGTATTGTCCCTGACCTACTGAATCACAATCTGCATTTTAATAAGATTCCATTGGTTTCATACACATTAACATCTCAGTAGTGCTGGTCTAGAGTAGAGTGTCTCAATTTCTGATTCGGTAATGGGTCACAACAAGTGTCTAGACACTATCCCTAAAGCCTTTGGGGCACCTGAAGCACAGGCAGGCAGCATTTAGGCAGCATCCCTGAGCTGACCAGCTCTGCCCTAGGCAACAACATACGCTCACCCCAAACTGTCCTAGAAATACGCTAATTATAAATGTGAAAAAGTTGGGGATCACATCATGTTGGGAAACATTGCAAGGCTGCATCTGGGCACATGGGCAAGGAGAGCTGTGGTGGACAGAGGATTTCTCTCAGAAGACCAGGGTCAGCACCAGATTGCATTCTCCTTGAGGCAAATACTGATCTGGAACTCACCAGTGGAGGGCGTTGCTGATTCATCACATTGCACAGTCCCATTTGAACACTGGCTAGAAGTAAAGAAATAGTTAACTTCTGAATCCAAATCTCTCTCTCTCTGTCTCTCTCTCTCTCTCTCTTTTTCATATTGCAACAATAATTTAATGTGAAAGAATTGAATACATACACAAACATTACATTTTTTCCCACAACATTTTTTACAAATAAGTTATTACCTCAGGTCCAACTTTACAGCTATTTCAGTATAACATATTTTTATCCAACAGCTTTATGTATGGACCACTGTGAGAGGCATAGGAATAAAGACTCAGATTAATTGTCTTGACCCAAGGGCTTATATCTTGCTAGGAGAGGAAAATAGACAATAATTTATGCAGTGTGATATCTGCAATACAGAAATAGGTTTAAGAGATAGCAAAAACAAAACAAGATATTTTAAAATCTGTTAGCAACTGACATCAGGGTGGTCAAAGGTGGTAAAGCCTGAACAATTTGAAGAATGGATAGCAGTTATGACATGGACAAGGTAGGAAGGCTCTAACACTAGATGGAAACACAAACCACGAGGGTAAAACAGTGTTCTCTGTGACTAAGTGCCATGAGGTGAGGATGGTAAAGGAGGCAGATGCCAGGTCCTACTGAGATGCTATCTTGAGTTAAGCCATATGGTTGGCTGGAATTTTAGGAAATTCATTCTGACAGCAGCACTGAAAACAGAGTGGAATCGCATCATTCTTGCAACCCAGAATCTAAAGTCAGGGCATAAGGCGAAAACAGTATCAGGCAAATTGACCTTGAAAATCCCTTCAGAAGACAGCATGACAGGGAACAACACACGAGTTCTCAGTTAGTGGTTTTTCCTTCAACTTTGAGCAGATCCTGTGTCCTATATTTGACCCCAGATGAAGAAACTGACTGATGTCTTAAGGGACCACATCACATGAAAAATATGCCTGTGCATTGTTTAACAGTACATCGACACTATGGGTGCAGAGAAACTGAGACAGACAGACAGACCTCAGACCATACATCCAGGTCTTCCTACCATACCTCTTCTGGGACATAGGTTTTTAAAAAAGAATGCAAATTATATCACTATACTTGAATATATTGAATTTTTTTATTTTTTGCAATGAGGACTTTATTCTTATTTAATTTATATAAATAAATTCAATTATATTAAATTCAACTATATTAAATTCAAAAGAGAGTCAATGTCTTGGCAAAATAAAAGTGAAGCAAGACCAAAAGCAAGAAGAATGTGGCTTGAATGTGGTTGTCTCCACCAGAACTCATGTTGAGGCCTGAACCCCAAAGGATATGGTAATATTATAAGGTAGGGCCTAATTGACTCCATCATAGGGGCACAATCCTAAGAAAGGATTGATGGTCATCTTTCACAAAGCCCTCATCAGAAGCCTTCATGGGTACTAGGCTCTTGGGCCTCCAAAACTGTGAATTAAATAGGCCTCTTTTCTTCTGAAATGCTCAGCCTTGGATCTTTTGTTATAGCAACACCGCCCCCCCGCAAAAGAAAACAAAACAAAAACAAAACAAAAAAACTAAGATCATTTTGAAAGATTTAGAGAAGACAGGTTGAAAGACATTACTAACATAGAATGAGAAGAAAGGAATGGATATCAATTAAACATAAAGAATGAAATTAGGGAAAATCCAAAATTGTTGGGGATTTGTTGGCTAGGTGTATTGAGTAGGAGAAAGGAATCAAAGAGGACTCTCAGATTTTAGCTGGGGAAACTATATGAATAGTAGTGCAATCTACTAGAGAAAGATCCAAGAGCTTAAGTGGGGGCAGGAGGAGGAGATGGAGACAACAATAAGGAAAGCTGAGTATAAATGATATCCTGCTGTAGATGCCAAGTTAGTTACTGCGCTGTCTGCAGTACAGCAAGCTCAGCAAGGTCAGTATGCCTGGGATTAAATCCTAGCTCTGCCCTCAAGTTGCTTAGCCACTCATGCTTCATTTTCCTCACATATAAATTGGCATAAAGCAAAAACACCTATCTCTTAGGGTGAGAGTGTTAAGTGTTTAATAATAAATGTAAAACACAGAATGGTACCAGGACTACAGAAGGTGCACAGTAATGGCTAGAGACTATGGTTGTTATTACCATTATCTCACATTATATTATTATCGTAAGCATCTATGGTGCACCTGAAAAAGGGAGGTTAGCAGTTGGATAAAGATAAATGTGGACTGCTGCACAGACGTGCTTGTGTTTTTAATAGGCAGGCTACAATTGAAATGCAACAGGCCAGTTACAACTGGATAACGGTGATATCATACAAGGTTTGCTGTCCCTGGGGAAGAGGTACACTTACTCCTGTATGTGACATCATTCAAATCTATTTTGGAATTACCTTTTATGAGCTGGTAGATAAACCATGAAACTAAAACCCTTAGTAATATACAGTATATGAGTATCCATCCCACCTGTAATTTCAGTCAAAGAACTAAAACTAATTAAAAGGCTTTTGTTTCGCTGTGTGACAAATTCAGAACTCTGTCATGCAGTGATGAATACAAGATTCAGGCTTTCCATATTATTTAAATGTAATTTATGCATGTATTTAATATATTCATTGAAACTTACCATAAGCCTGAGGGTGTTGGGATGAGCTCCCCAGGCTGATAAACGCTGCCCCTATAATGACACCGGCAGTGATATCTACCACAGAAAAACAAGGTTAAGTAAATAAAATGGGATATGAATTCTGTCAAGTCACTAAAAGTACACCCTGTGTTCTTAATAGGTCATTGTTAGGCATATGCTCAAGTTGTCATTATTCACAAATAGCAGAAATTGTTTAAATATAGTCTTGCGTGGCTTCAGATTTTGTTTTTCAAAATACAAATCACAAACTGTCTTAGTTTAGTTACAAGAAAAGTCACTGAATGCACTTCAGAGAAGCACAACTAATAAATCATTTAGCACTGTGTGTTACGACCAAAGTCTTCACCTCATGTGGAAACTGAGAAACTTCTGAGTGCTGACAGACATTACAATCCTGCTACTAAAATGTGCTACATAACAGTGAAACATAAGCCCTGTTATTGATTTGGGTATGTGAAAAGCAAGTAGGAATAAACTTAGGATTAACTGTCAGATTCCTTAGCTCCTTCTGTAGCTATTTGTGAATATAAAAACACAAAGGGAGTGGGGAAAGGCATTAAGAAATAAGCAAGCAAGCCCATTTGACTTATAAGAATAAAAACTGATAGTATCAACCCATTTCCATGACTTACATGGGCACACAAAAGTTAAGGGTGTCTTCATAAAATTTGCCTTCAGGACAGTTACAGCCTTCAGCACAGTCATCATTGCACTGTTCCGGGGAAGAGAGAGAGGTGCAGGAATGGCGGCAAAATGAGGAACAGTGATGATACAGCATGCCCTTTTGGCATACCACAGCTAAAGACAAAGGAAAGTCACTTGAGAAAGATGTCCACAGGGCACAGAAACAGGGTACATTTACTTAAAGATTCAGGATGGACACAAATCATGAAAAAAAAGCTATTTTACATGGATTAGCATAGAACATTCCAGAATCCTACAACAGTAAATAAATAAACAATTCCTGGCCTTAGCAATAAGTATAACAGAAGAATAAAATTTCTATTTTGAAGTCATTTCAAGTGTGATTCTTTACCATTCCTGGAGGTACTACAATACCAGGTCGATGTATGGGGTGGATGGAATAAGCTCCTATTCCACCTCCCTGCTCCAAAAGTCCATTTAATATATTGTCCACAGATAGAGGATATATCAAATATTAAACTGATAAGAACAGATATTTCACTTGATCTTTAATATGTAAGGTTTTCATGTATCTGAATAAACTTTCTTTTTCTCCAATTTGAATCTCGGTATTATTATACTGTCACCATCATCATTACAGCATTCTTTAAACCTAGGTAAACTTTCAGTCTTCTACAAAGAAGACAAATTTTGACTTTATTGATGCCCATTCATAGTTTTGTTTTGTTTTTTTATTCTCCTTTTTAAAAATATTTTTAAAGTTGTCAATGGACTTTATTTATTTATATGCGGTGCAGAGAATCGAACCCAGGGCCTCACCCATGCTAGGAAAGCACTCTACCACTGAGCTACGACCCCAGCCATTTTTTCTGCTTCTTAACCATGTTTATACTTTTCCCAAAACCCTTCCAATTTCTCCAAACAGACTGATTATGGTAGACAAACAGAGATATTCTAAAAATGCACTTGTACAAACACTAAAAAGTTTTGAATAAATAAATTTATTATTTTAAATATATAATGGGAGGATATCCCAGATGCCAGAGATGAAGGGAGAAAGAAAATCCAGAGCTGTGAGAGCTGGAGGGGAGGACTGATCCTAGTAATCCTGGATCTCAGAAACAGAAAAAAAAAAAATAAGTTGGTCCTTTACGAAGTAAGGAATTTGGAGACCCTTAACTCAGATGCTCAAAGATCAGCACTCTCAGCTGAAAGGAAGGACCAAAGCAAGAGTCAGAAAATTTCCTCTCCAAGGGGCCAAATATTAAGAATTTTCAGTTTTGTAGACAGTAGTATCTTTCACAACTATTCAACGTTTTGTGCTTGAAGCACAAAAACCCCCAGAGACCACATGTAAACAAAGAAGCAGGCTTTTCTCCAAAGAATTTCATCCACAAAAGCACAAGGGCCCCAGGGATGTGGCTAGCGAATGCCTGCAATTGATGAAATCTGCTAATATGATACAGAAAGAAGCTAGGAAGTGTCTGTGACAGATGTGATAAAATAAAGTTACCTGTACAAACTCATAATGCCAGACACATTCTGTACAGATTTGGTATATGAATTTATATTATTTTTATATTTATATTATTTTTTTTCTCAGAAAGCTAAAGCTAAACAATTACCACCAATATTGGCCAACGATACTCCTGGAATAACAATGCTTTGTCAAACTACTGTGGGAGTAGAGAGGTAGACAGAGGAGTTCCCCCAAAACCTGAGTCTCACCAATTTAATTGGGGACCTGATAAAGATTCGTGAATAAAAAAGTTACCAGACACACAAGGAGCCCATCCTTTTTAACTACAGATCAACTTGCCACTGTATCACATGATGCCTTTCCATACTTTTCAATATTTAAATATGACATTTTCATCCTAAGAATTTTTTCAAAATGTTCTAATTGTTTCTGATGCACATATCAAACATAATTACACTTTAATTTTGCTTACAGCATAAACAATCAAAAGTTCTTGGTCTTATCCAACATATCTCCAATTTTAGGGAACAAAATACTTCATCTGTTTTTCATGTTTGTACACTATTTCATATAACTTACACACAATATTGAGACTTTAAAAAAAATAATAAGAGCAATAATTGTAAAAACAAAAATCTCTGATGTGTTTTTTGATAGTCTTTATCAGTGCCATCAAACTCACCACAGAATGAAATCTGAGCTCTAAAGTCGATGGGAACTCCACGCTGACCACAGAGGTAGGCATAGTGGGCAAGAGCATTGCACAGGCAGGGGCTCCCACACTTGCATGCATCGTGGCGGCATAGCTGATAGTACAGCCCAGGGCTCACGTAGATGTGGCAAGAAGCAAAGAGCTCCTGGTGGATGACATCACAGTGCGCTGCATACCCAACTGACAGGCAAAGATTCCCATTAGCATCTCATATCTTACCCCTAATTACCAAGTTCCAGAACTATTCAAGCATATTCAAGTATCCTTGATTTCCTACTGAAGCATTCTATGTTGCACATCACTTTAAATGAGAGTCAATATACCCAGCTTCTACAGGGTTTTTTCCTGTGTGTGTGTTCATGATTTTGGTAATACTAATAACAGCACTTAGTACATATTTAATAATTTTTTTAGCCAAAAATATATCAACAACAAAAAATATTTTTGTACTTGAATGATAGGAGTAACAAAAGGGTTGATAGAAGCAGGAGCCTCAATCACCCATTGCCTGAGGACCATCTGAGGAAACCTGCTATGAAAAACTAGGGAATATTGAGAGGCTTAACTCCAGACAACCACACAGAATGAAAGTGGTTCCAGATTATGGATGTAAGGATAACATTATAGAAAATATAATTATCCAGGAGGGATGAAGAATCATTTTTCACTCCACTGGAGTCTCCAAGGTGAATGGTAATGTGGCAGATGCCACATAATCACTGAACTCAATGTTGGCACAATGCATAGTATGCAATGCCTGGCAGACATTAAGAGCTTAATCATGCTTGATAAATGAATCTTTGAGTGTAAGAACAAAAGTAATGAATAGAAATTAGGCATTGGATTAAATGTTAAGGGTCACGGACCTATAACTGCCATTATCTCATTTAGAGGCAGGTCTTTATTATCAGATCTTGAAATCTATTGATTTTTCCCTTGAGAATGACTAGCCAGATATAATCCTTTATTGAATTAACAAAACAAGTTTGGCAAAATAATCTAGATCCTATCTTGCTGAAAAAGACTGGGTCTGTGGTTCCTTAATGTAGTGCTCCTGGGTTGCCAGGGTTTCCTTCAGATATAGCTAATCAATCTTTACATTGTCATTGTCTTTGAGAGAGCAGATAAGCTGCTAGACATCAGAATTTTTTCAATACTAAGGAATTATACTAAACTTATTTGGTTGAGAAATTTAAGTATATTAATTATTAGTAAGGAGACATGGTAATTGCCTACATTTTTACATTTTCCCCCTCTGGGTATGCACATACATCTGAAAATAAGGCATTTAGACTTAGCAGTATATTGTTGGTATACATATTCCTAACACAAAGGGATCCTGAACAAGCAATATAATATATGAATGAGACCATTATTGTGTGCCCTAAGGATATGTCAACCAAAAGATATTTCTACTGACATTAAGTAAAGGGTAACTCGAGAACATCTTTGTGGGAAAAAAAATCTTCAGAATACAGAGTAGCTATTGACTTTTGTATATTTATTTTTCTTTCTTTGAGGATCTTCATGAATTTACCCATTCAAAAAATTTTTTCAAAATAATCACAGTTCATGGTAAAAATAAAGGAAGATAATATCTAAAATATACATTATAGAAGACATAGAGCATGGGGAAAGAGTGATGGAAAACACAGCAAAATGACATACAGTAAAAGATGACTGGAGAAGAAACAAGAGGGAAACTGAATTTATTAATTGAGCTCTATTTAAACTTGTATATGCTATTAAAAAATAAACTTGTTGAAATATCAAGGAAGAAATCTAATAATGAAGAAACAAACCAAATAAGACTATTTGAAGAAAAGGTAGGTTAGTGAAATATAGGGTATAGAATTGAGAAAAATGTTGTTAAATAGGCATGAGATCAAAAGTAGTAAGTAAATCATAGGGGTCAAAATCTCTAGTCTAGCCATCTTTGGACAGGAAAATCAATAAAGTTAACAATCTTCTTCAACTTTAAAAGCTATCTCAACTTTCTTCTTTAGAAAAAGTATTGACAGCAATATTATCTTGTGGTTTTTTCAATACACCAAAACAACAAGTTATTAATAAAAACCATGACAATCAACAGAATCTTCCCATATAACCACCATAAAATCTAGAAATTGTATGTGAATGCCTAACCAGTATTAGTAATGTTTAAAATTAACTATGTAAAAATGTTAAATCAGCCAAACAATTAAAGGAACAAGATTAAAATTATAAGAATATCTATTTAATTATGTACATTTTTATTTATAAAGTAATTTTACCAAAAAGAAATCTCCTTTCACTGAGAAATGAAGTAGAATTTTAAAATGGTTTGTTGAAGCTTTAGTTTAAAAACATACACCCCCAAATTTTTCACGTCAGTTGCATTATCTTTGCAAATTGGAATTCTGGGGCAAACTGATATCCGCCTAACAGTCCCAGACCATCTTTGGGTGACTGGCTTCCTGCTTATGGAGATGCAACATATGTTATGAGTAGGAATGGTGATGAGCGTCAATAAGATATCATGATGAAATTGTCATAAACAGGAGAATCACTAAGTTAACACACTGTAGAACAGAAGTCAAACATCTCAGAACTATGACATCATTATTAAAGTATTTCCAGAGACTTTTCTTTAGCATTCAAATATTTCAAAAGCTCCAAAATGCTAACCAACAATTGGAAAGAAGGGATTTCTTTAAACACCTAAAATAAGTAATTTTGTGAGTGCAAAAGAGTAAATAAAAGTCGTTTTCTGTTCTTTTTGATAGCCTCAATTACATGCAGTTGTAATATTAAACAAAAATATATAAGGAATGGTACTGACTGAGCATAATAAAGAAAACTGGAATTTAAAATCACCATACAATTTCACAAGATTAGAGCAGCATATGGAACATTCTCCCTAAGTTTACATGCAGAAAGGAAGACTTACTGTTTTGTTGATTAATGTTACAGGGGTCTACCATTGGCACATGAACAGGTGCGAAACAGGTGGAGGAAACCCTCCATGCATTTGCATGAAGTTGTGGGGTTCCTTCTATCATGCCTGAGGGAGAACTACAAAGCAAAGAAAAAGTTCACTCATTCATTTTATTAGTTCATAATCTTCAAATATTTAAATAATAGAATATTATTTTTTCTTAATGTACAAAAAAATCTTAGAGCTTGAAATTTTCTGCCAGTTTTCAAAAATGTAGTGATAATAGCTTCCTGCTATTGAGAGTTTACATTTTACCAACTTGTTGGCATACAGGATTCTATTTAATCTTCACCTCAATCTATCACTGTTTCTACAGAGAAAGCAAAGCAAAAATTCAGAGAAATATTAAATTTCAATAAGCTAATTAATGGCAAAACCAAGATTCAAATCTAGTTTTCATTGAGTTAATCAAACATTACTCACAAAACCAAAGTTTTAATGTGTGTTGTTTAAGTGCATGTGGAGTCAAAGGTGTGGGTAGTTCAGATGATTATTTTCAGGCTAAAGATAAACGTCTCAAAAAATAAATAAGCTATATTTTTGGTTGAACATATCAATTTCCATCATGAATCCTGACATACTGAAGTTCCATCGTGAAGTAAGCAAACCAAAAGAATATTCCAAGAAAACAGTATGAAAGACACCTTTTGTCCAAGTTTGCTCACTTCTCCAGCTTCCTCAACAAACCCAAATTGAAGAAAACCATTTAGCATTCTGAAATCAGATTTAGAAACCACATCAGTGTTTAGGAGCCAATACACAATTCCATCTCCAGCAGCCATCAAGATTTATTTGATTCAAAAACAAACATTTATTAAGTGACAGTCCCTACTGGACACTGTGCCAGACACTGTCAAAACCACTTATATGGAATTAAGGTAAACTCAGTCTCCTTTTGGAAGCATTTGACCACATCACAAGTCCTGACTGCATTAATTGCCACAACAATTAGAAAGATAGGCTTTTCCTAAATTCTTCACATTGTCCTTTGGTAACTACTTTGGTAAGCCTTTAGCTCAACCACCCTCAATGAAGTTTCCTCACCAGAATGACTGAGACAGGAAAGAAACAAAGGGGCTTCACAAGTCACTCCACAATGCTCATCCAATGCCCATCCCACCCTCTCCTTCCTTTTCTATTATTCTTCAAATCAAACCACTCTGGAACTTCGAAGAATTAGAACAAACATCTGATTCAAAATCTCATTGGTTCAATTGCATGACCTACACTAGTTCTTTCATCTTGTTCTTTTTTTTCCCTCCACTCCCCTCCCCTTTTCTTCCCTCCCAGGGACAATAAAACAGTTTGGGATGATGCACATAGTCAAGGTTCCCAGGAGGAACTGATCCAGAGCCCTGCTCTATTTCATTTAGTTTACTTATAACAATAAATACAAAAAAAAAAGAATTAGGAGCCAAAATATAGACTTATTTACTTATTATATTTCATTTTAAAAAAATAGCCTTTCAGCTCAACATACTTGATTTACTATAACAAGGCATGTAAAATAAATTTTCAATTAATAGTTTCCATTAAACTATGTTTGCAGATTCACATTAACCTTTGTGAAGCAAAGAATTTTAACTACTTTAGTTGGAAAGCTAAACAGTGTTCAAAAGTTATCTCTGACTCTGAAATATTATCCTGTACTCTTATCGCGCCTGAATGTTTATGCATGGAGGAGACTGGTGCCTTAGAAAGTGGCAGACAGATCTGCCATCTGTTAAACACTGACGGCTAACCCATTCTGACAAACAAGGCAAAGAAAGCAGGCTTAATATCTTTTCTGAACATCTTAACCAAGCCTCTTGATGTAGTATCTGTTTTTCAAGTAGGATAAATATATTAATATTCTGACCTACAAGTAAATAAAACAAAAAATTATCTCCAAACAAATTAATCACACAGGAGATAAGATAAAAAAATTTTTTTTTAATTTCAAAAAAAAATTTAAATGACACTTCTCCCAACCCATTCCAAATTTTCTTCTCAATGCCTCATTAAAAGTTCTGCTCAGTTCAATTTGTCTGTCCAATATATACAAGATTCCTATGCATATAAAATAAAGGCTGGGGTGTGGCTCAGTGGTAGAGCACTTGCCTAGCATGTGTGAGGCACTGGGTTTGATTCTCAGCACCACATACAAATAAATGAATAAAATAAAGATCCACCAACAACTGAAAAAACATATATTCTTATGAATACAAAAACCAAGGATATAATCCTTAGTCTCACAGGCCTTGCAGTTTGGTGGAAACCAAACAGATAAACAAAGGATTTTCGCAGACAATAAAATTAGAATTAATTTTATCTGGTGGGATATAAACTAGCTTTTAGAAGCAAGTAATGTCTGAATTGGGTTGAACAATAAGTAAAAGCTCATGGGAAAGATTAGGAAGGGCAAAGAACCCCAAACAGAAAAAAAAAAAAAAAAGAGTATGTGTAAAAGTATTTAAAAAAAAAAAAAAAAAGCCTGCTACATGGAGAACAATTCCCCTGGGAAATGTCCCTTGACTTCTCTGCCCTAATGACCTTCTCTTAATTCCTACTATGTTTTTAGCTACAAACACAAAGCTCAACATTTAATTTTTTAAAATTATCTCAGTGTTTTTATGTATTTATTGGTGAATACCTTGCCTAGCACTAAACAGTTCTTCTTTAAATTTTTTTTATTAAGGTCTGGTTGGCAAATAAAAATTGTATATATTTGTGGTGTGCAAAGTAATGTTTTGGTGGTATATACATGTGCCTACTGTGAAACGGTTAAATGAAGCCAATGAACTTACCTGCCACCTCACCATGATCTTACCATCTTTGTGTGAGAACACAGAACATCTACTCTCTCAGCAATTTTCAAGTATATAATATATTAACTCCAGACATTATGCTGTATAATAAATCTCTATACATCCTCTCCAACTGAAACTGTTTCCTTGGACTAACATCTCCCATCCAGCCTCTCCCTTCCTCAGTCCCTAACAACCACATACTTTTTTACATTTTCAGATTCCAAATATTTCTTAAAAGTTTTGATCCCCTCCCAACCTTCAATACCAGTGCCTTGAGGAGGTAAACCATGTCATCCTGTTTAAATTGCTCTCACTGTGCTTTTAGCAAAATAACAGTTGCTCAAAACATCTACACTAAATTATGCACTGCTTGTTTTCACAGGTATGTGATAAGTGTTAATTTTAAGGGAGGGATACAGACGTATTTTATTGCTTTTCTTCCAATGGAACACAAACTTCCATAAAATACAATAAATTTAGATACAACATGTGCTTTAAAGCTATCATTACTACCAAATAATATCCATAATTTAAAGTATAACTTACTGCCACTAATACAAAATTACATTAAGATTGTCTAAAAGGCTGCACGTTTTCAAAAATAACATACTATTAAGTATTGATAGGTCATAGAAAACAACAGGTAGTGGTTAGCCCAAAGGCTGAGTCACACTGCCAATATTCAAAGCCTAGCTCCAGTACATGAGCTAAATGACCTTGAAGATTTATATGCCACTTTGAGATCTTGGTTCCTTTCTTATCTATGAAACAAAGACACTAATCAGGGGATTGCTATACAATTTAAATATGATGATCTATGTTAAGTTCTTCAAACAGTGACTGCTAAGCTCCTTTTAGTTAAGTAAACATTTTTAATGAATTTATATCCTCTGAATTGCCAGTCATTAAACTCAGTTGACTATTCATAAATCATACTTACAGAAAATCATCCCTTATATTTCCATTAAATGTGCCACACAGACCTAATGTTCTTCTCTTCCAGGCACTAGTGAGTTGAATATAAATTCTTTCCCCATCTATAGCAAACAAGATCTTTAAGCCAAATGTGGTTTTTAGAAGAATAAATAATGATGACAGAGTTTGAATCTCAACAATTCCTAAGGAATGAAAAGAACATATATAAATCAGTTTTAAGACATATAGGCAGTGTTCAGAAATGTTAAAGTATGATTCTTCTTCTACTGGACTGGGAAGTGGGGGCTGCAGGTTTGAAGTTCCTTCCTGAGCCCTGGGGCCAAAATTTGCCACCTTATCCTGCTTTCTTTTCTTCCATTTCCCTTTCTTTCTCCTATTTTTCTGGATCATCAGTAAATCAATGGCTTTTGCCCTGATTTTGTTCTTCATTGCCCCTGTATCCTTATTACAAGTTTGGCCATCCATCTGATCAAATAAGGCAGAATGCTGAGACTCATTCTTTGATCACTCTCTTTCCCTCAGTGCCATTTCCAACTAACCTCAGTCTAATCCACAACTAATTTCAGTCACTACGCCTTCTTTCCATCTCTACGGTCACCACCTTATCTCAGTTCCTCCTTATTTCTTGCATGCCCCACTTTACAACATCCTAACATTGTCAGTGTCTCTTGTCTAGTGATCTGCAAAGTCACTTCCACAGAGTTGTCTTTGTAATCTATCAAAGAAATCACGAAAGCTACTTAAAACTCATTGTTTCTTTGCTTGAACCATATGAGATTGCCATCTTTGTACATAAAATTGTCAGATAATGATAATTTCATATTGACTCCATTTGAAGTTCAAGTTCCTTAGCATGATACCTGTGTATGTAATTACACATCAGTATGTAATTTGTAGTACAACTTGGAACATTTCTGAGAGTTTCACTCTGATACTAAAATTATTAACAACTATGCTGTAGTCCAGTCATAAACAAAGCTTGTTCCATGAAACCACCATGTATGAGGCCCAATAAACAAGGTTTTTCTAGTGTCATCCCCACCTACTTTCCTAATCTCATCTCTGGACATTTTCCACTTTACCCTCTTCATGCTATAGCAGTGTCAAACCAGTTAAAGTTACCCCTACACAACTCACCCAGGTCTACACCACCCAGCTTTTCACGGACCATTTTCCCCATCTTTACCCCATGTGTTTAATGCTCAGTGAGATGTTACCTCCTTCAGATAACTTTCCAGACCTTTACTCCATGTTTCTCCCATCCCAGGGCTGCATGGGCTATACCTTATTTAAACCTACAAAGTTTGCCTACAAACCTTTGAGTGTATCACATGTTGCTAGAAACATCCATTTGCCTCTATCTCGTCCCTTCCAAACTAAGTTATTAAACATTAAATCCCATAAACATGGTGGTCTTTGCTCTTTCTAACTGAGGACCTAGTGTCACAAAGGCACCCAAAAAATACAAGGTAGCCAGCCCCTGGGAAAAGACACCATGTAGGTTATATTTGTTGCTGTTTCTAATGTACAGAAGGTGCAGCATTAGCACTGTTTCCTACCTTTCAGATTAAAGCCTTGGTTAGGACTGGTGAGGATCTGTCCTCCCCTACTAAGGGTCACTTGTTTGTTAAAATCATCCTCCAGAATTAGAGTTATAGACTGCAGGCAGACCAAGCCAAGATTCTGCATAAAAATCAAATTATCAAAGAGAGGAAAGAGAGGGAGATACAGACATAGAAAGAGACATGGTAGATGGGAAAAGGGGAGGGAGAGAAAAGAAAGAAAGGAGAGAATGCCTGTAAATATATTCTGGTATACAGAAATCTTGAGCATAAGTAATATAATAACATGGCTGCTACATAATCCATGCCATATAGTCCCACTTCCAATAAAACATATCTATGGTACATTAAATATGTAATAAACATACATATATTTTATATAAAATATTAAATAAAAATGTTTCCATAGTATATAGCCAAAATACTTTTCAAAACTCATATAACTGGTATATTTGATATATAAATTTCAATAAAGAACATACCCAAAAGATTTAAGATTCCATTTAGAAAGGTAATTCAGACTCTGATAAATTGCAAAGAAAAGAATCAAAATGGAAAAAAAACAAAAAAGTAGTTCAGAATATTTGTTGAAAATAACTATTTTACATTGGAATAAAACTGAAAATTCTAAAGGTTTTAGCAAATTTTTGGCCATCTATTTGAGAGATGAATAAAAGATCTTGGCTTCTTCATTTACAAAGTATTTGATGTTTGTTGTTTCACAAAAATATCAAAAAGGTATATCTCAATATATTAAGAAAACCACTATATCTGTTTAGAATAATAAGAAACCTATTCAATCCTATCAAAAAATAATATCTGGGACTGGGGTTTTGGCTCAGTGGTAGAGCCCTTGCCTAGCATGTGTGAGACACTGGGTTCAATTATCAGCACCACTTATAAATAAATAAATAAATAAATATCCATTGACAACTGAAAAAAAATATTTTAAAAAATTATCTCTGTAACATAGTTTTGGAGTAATCAAAAATCTAGGCCCATTGTGCAATCATGCATGCAATTTTCAAAGTACAAATACCACTTAAAAAAAGAAAAAGCAATTAAATTTTTAAATAAAAAAATTGCAATTAAATATTCAGTATTTATTTAGTCTAAGATATATTTGTTTTCACATTGTAGTATCTCTGAAATCAGAATTCATCATAAACAAAGATATGTCATGATTAATAGCATTTCTTCCTTTCTTTTGTACATCTCAATAGTCATTGTCTTCTCAGTTGTGAAGACAATAACCACATTCATTCATGTTACTATTCTTAATTTAGATATGAAGTTTAAGTTTGAAAAATGAATATTCTTCTGGTCATTTTGAGATGTTCTTACCTGTTCACAAGGGGCCTTCTGCAAAGTAATTGTGAATTTATCTTTTCCAGTTCCTTTCACAAGGATGTACTGGCACATGCCAATAAAAGAATAATGTCGACCATCAAAAGTTGTAAAATGAGAATCACCCACAACAGAGCATTGAACTACCAAAAAAAAAAAAAAATGAAGGAGGAGGAGGAAGGGGTGGGGGGAGAAGGAGAGGAGAGAAGGAGGTGAATGACGAAGAAATTATGTTAATTCTTTAAAAAAAAGGAAGTCAACTTAGGAAAAATAATCAATAATGCATTAAAAAGAACATCTAAAGTGTTTAAAATTTATTGGTTTCACAAATTTATTAGGCCAGATGAAATTATTCCACTTAATATCCATTTTAATTTTCAAATTTATTAAATGATAATTTTTCTACATACTTCATAAGTTTTATAATATGTACTATTTTAATGAATTTTTACCAAATCTGCGTGCTCAAAGTTATCACTTATCCAATTTTCAATTTATCCTTTGAGTACCTGAATTTGTAGGTTATTGCATCTCTTGTTATATCCAAGATATATATAAAGAGATGTTTTTAAAATATTGCTATCTTCCTCCCTAGTTTAGAAAAAATTTAAAAATTTTCTTCAAAAACACTTTAAAAGATTACCTGGACAGTCATGCTCAGTGCAGTTCCAAACTCCACCAACACATACACTAAATAAAATTATAATAACATTAGTCCACTGGTATATAGAAACTGTATTAATGTTTGTACCAATGTATTGATTAATATACCAAAATATGTTTATAGTTTCAGAATAATTGGACTTAAAAAACATCTCTACAAAAGTTTAATTTACTAATAACTTTGTGCTGGTTAGCATCTAAATTATTATTTATTGTGTATTTATTTTTATTGCCACAAAGCATTGTGACAAGAGAAAAGACATCATCCAAGTAAGATGAACACTACTTTCCATCTTCACAAAGAAAACAGTTTTAGAGGATGAAGGTAGAATTTCTGAAGACACCAGCATCTAAGAGCACAGTTAGGTATCTGACTACATTTCTCTTATGTACACTAATGAGCTCAATAACAGGTAAACTTGTTTCTTTCTATGACTGTGCTAGAAGGATTTAATGTTTCCCCATAACCTTAGCTAATTTATTAAGGAAATATAAATCTTTCTAACCATAGCTCAAAATTGGCAATATAGGGAGTCACTTTTTAAAATATCCAATAGAGAAGTCCAGAAACAGCATCATGTTCTAAGAGTAAAAGTATATGCAAGTTAATTATTATAAATAATAAGAAAATGCAACAGACTTGTCATATGGGCATAGTATTTTATGAAATTGTTAAGGAAGATTGTAAAAATTACATCATAAAAGAAAATGTAGATACCCCCATGTAGTTTAAATAAAATGCAAATTGCATCTCAGAATTTTTAGAAGAAAGTAATAAGTAAATAAGAAAATAAGTAATAAGCTTTTTAAACAGTTGTTGTGATAAAGTTGTTAATAAACCAGATACCCCAAAATAATTGGCTGTACATTGATGACATACCATTCAGTACATTCTTGTTCAATTTTTGAACCAACTGCATAAGCTAATCCATGAAAACTACACGGGCAATTTTCCAAGGAGATGCAAGTCCCGTTGTCCATTATAAGGCCTATTTAAGAAAAATATATATCACATTCTCAAAAGAAATAATAAAGATTGCATTCTTTAAATATTATAATTCAATTAGCTTTTGTCAAATATCTGCTTATACTAACTGCTAGAAATTCAAATTCCTTTAGTTTCAAGGAGAATAACAGCAACCTGGCTTTCAGGCAATAGCTACCTTATAAGGGTTTATTTGTTTCTTTCTTTCTTGTTCATTCTTCTGTTTTCTCAAACCCACAACATATAACCTAGCTTTTTACACTGAAAAAAAATTATCTTTTTTTTAAAATTTTACTGAGAAAACTAAAACAAAGATGGTGGGGTGGGGAAGGTTCTTCCATGGACTCCCATCATCATCACCTTCCCTCCAGAATCTGCGCACATAAACCCTGTCTTCCCACCCACTTCTAGATATTCATCTTTGCTCCTATCTAAAGTTAGTCTCCTCACCAGCAAACTATATTCCATCTTGTCTTAATTACTCAGTGACATTGCTCTAGCAATTATTTCATTTCATAAGGGTCTATTTCAATGGTTTCAACTTTTTTATCCCAACAAAAACTCCAGGTTCATCAAAAAGAATAAGATAACCAAATAGTGTTTCTTGTATTTGAGGGAAGAAAAAAGAGAAGGAGGGAGAAAACATATTCTTGGGTTAGTATCTATCTGTTCATTCTAAGGTGAGAGATTTGCATGGTTGTAATAGAGATAACAGAGCCAGGTCGTTCTACTCAACCGCCTACCTGCTTTTGTACTGTTTATTAACAAGGAGGTTGAACCAGAACTTAATCAACCATGTTACTATGTACAATGTTTCATTGAGCTGGCCATTTTCTTAGCAAAACATTATAGGAGAAAGCATTCATTTCTATTTCTGAGTATGGGTTTATATTATGCTGCAACATCCTTATCTTGTCATGGAGGTAACAAACAACTCAGGACTGGCACTGTTCAACATACTGACACCAACAGAATAATGAACTGAAGTCAACAGTCCCATTTCCGTGTAATTCTCATTATATTAAGCATATGACATGGAGGAAATCACTTAGCACCTTTGGAGTCTATTTTTTTAAAATCTGTAAAACTACCAGGGTTTGTGCATTCCTCAGTATTCTTCCTTAATGTCTATCAGTACCGAAAAATTATACTTAAAATTTTTAAACCTCATCTCTATCTCTTCTAAGTTACTTTTTATTTCAAATATTAAAATTACATTAAGACTTAAATCTTATAATGGGAAAATCTGAAGGCTTTTCCTCAAACTTTCATCTTTTAAAAAATGAAAATACATAAATTATTAAATATCATTAAACATTAAGAGAATAAAATATTTGCCATGGTAATCCTAGAACTATAAATTCGAAGTTTCCTGGGGAATATAAAGCAATGAGTCCTTTATTCAAGAAAAGCAACCATTCCACTCAAATCCTGCAAGGGTAGAAAATTGCAATAGACCTGATGGCCTTGGAGAGGACAAATAAAAAACCAAGATGTGATCCTTAGATTGCTGAGTTCTAGTTTCCAATGGGTAAAAACATGGTGTCCTCAAGAGGCACTTACCATCGGGGCAGTAACATCCATCAAGACAGTGAAGATTGCTGCCAAGACACTGCTTCTCAAACGTGCAGGTAGGTGGGCAACAACTAATGCAATCCCGATGCACAAAGCTATCATCACATTTATCAGCTGAAATGGGAAGACAGGACAACTTTAATTGTGTATACCTCTCTTCCAAAAAAATCAGTATTTCAAAAAATATGCAAATTTATAAATACAATTGCTTCAATTAAAAAATCTTTTCATTTCATTAGTTTCAATAAGTTTTGATTTCTAGGTCAAGGCCAAAAGTAACAGGAAATGCACAGGGTTTGAAAAATAAAGAACATACTGCAAGCTGGAAAGTCATCTCTCCAGTCTTGAATAGGGTAGCCAGCGTGAGAACAGGCTCTGGCATACTCTGTGGCTGCTCGACAGTAGGTTTCATCATCATCAGTCCTGGGACATGAAAAGACAGAACCAGAATCACATAGGAAATATTGAGAACCCTGCCTTGGAGCTACTGACTCATAAAAATGATGAGCGCCTAGCAAACATTCCAAAAAGATGTCAGTATGCCTGTCTTAGTAGAGACAATAATGTTAAAAAAAAAACAAAACACCAACATGGGATTTCAGTTAAATATGCCTGGATACACTGTCTTCATCAAAGTCTTTCAGTAATTTGACCACTTCTCTTTTGAGTCAAGAGACCACTATACTAGAAAACATTTCTGTTTTAATTATAATATTCTTACCAGAATCCTTGTAGGTAAATATTAACTTCTACACAAAGAATTCCAGACCTTTTAGGATTTAATAATCATAATAGATAAAATTTAAGTCCCACTAAACAGATAAAATTCTATCCCCTAAACAATATCAAGTATGAAAACTGTTTGCAAACACCATGCTCTTGATTGTCCACATGCCAAAAAGAAACCAATGCCAGAAGTCTGCAGCACTGAAGTACCATTCAAAAGGATTTTGATGGTTCCTCAGCAGTCCTTGCAATAAGGCTCCAAAACAACTTTGAAAGATTGAATAAATATCATTAACTTAAGATTTAAAAGAAAATTATGAATTCTTGTACCAAAGCTCGGTGTTTTTATAACATTGCCAGGAGTAAATAATCTCCAATTATTTTCTTGTAATCACTTTAGGAATTCTCCAAACAATAATTTCTTATGGGATCTGCCAATTTCCAAAGCAGGTTAACTAGGCATTTGGTTTATAACAAGTCAGTGGGCTTATTTTTCAGCCCAACCCAAACTCAAAATTAAATAGCTAAATATCTTAAAAGACAACGACCTTAGGAATGTTTCATTTTGTGAATCTTAACATTTTCAGTACCTCAATTGCAAAAGCCACCATCTCAAATTTCTCTTGTCCTGTGCTACTGTAATTGGAGTCATGCAGCTTATCCAGTCTAATTAACTGAACTTTAGAAGGAAAAAAAAAGGATTCTAAACTTTAGAAACCCAGAAAATTCTAAAACTATAAAGATCTTTTTGATAAGCAGCATAAGGTAAAAAATGCTGAACTCCTGGAAAGACATTAAGTTTATGATTTATCTTAATATATTTGCATGTTTCTTGCAATTAACAGTGGTTTTAAAAGTTAGCAAAGTAAGAAATCATTGGTTTTTCTAACCCAGTGCAACTAACATTAAAAACCCTACCATTTATTAAGTGTCTTGTTACTCTAGGAATTATTTTAGGCACATTATCATACAGTTCCTCATTAAAACTCTCTACAGTTGATCAGGAAAGAAATTATTATCCCAACTTACTGAGGGGAAATGAGCTTATTTTTCCATTCTGCATGTTAACTTTAAAAACGGAAGTGAGCACTAAATAATAGTTTTTTTTCCCCTACTTCAATTGACTTTGATGTGGTAAAATTAAAGTCATTTCCTTGCTGGTTTTGGCATTTCTGAAAGCACAAATGGGGGCTATAGTTTCAAGGATTGGTATTGAGTTGTCCTTCAAGCTCAAACACAAATGTCATCTCCAAGGAGTTTCAGAGGTGCTCCTGGGGAAGTCAGTGGTCCTCCACATGCACTGAACTTTTCATGTAGAGCACTCTGTCATTGCTAGGAACCTGTTTCTCTGTCTCACTAGAATGAGTTCCCAGGAAGGAAATCACGCCTACATTGTTTCTATTTCTCTCACTGTGGCCCAATGCTCAGCTCAGAATAGACGCTCAAAAGATGAATGTTGAATTAAATTCAATATACCAGTATAAGCCAAGCCGGAAATTAATTTGTGTTCAACCAATTCACATTTTCATTGTTATGGCATAGGACCCTGTGACTTAGTTCCCTAATACAGGAAATGAAAAAGAATCATTCATTTACTATTGAATGGGAGAAAGACTGTAACCAGGTTGAGTGCTGAAGGAAATATGAGGGATGTGAAAGGCTGACTTCTATAGCTTCTCACTCCCATTCTGTTAATGTCCACTCACTCGCTTATGATGCTCTTCTTCCGATATTACATGCCTGCTCTGCCCCAAACCTGGCCTCTCCACCTCAAACACATCTCCGAAGGTATCAGCTAATTTCAACCAGTACAATTTGCTCTACCCTACTTTTTAATTTGCTCTGGAAAAAGCAAAATTTCGAAGGCCAAAGCCTAAAGATACCAGAATTCCCAAAGATAAAAATGTTAATTTCTCAATGATGAAATATCAGAAGTGCCATAGACTTATTTTTGTCTCAAATTCCCCCTTCTGTTCAATATTAGAACACGAAGATTTTGCTGGATATGAAGCTGCCCAACCAAAGACAACATGGCCAGCCTCCTTTGTATCAGGAGTAGACAAGTTTCTAAGTTCTGGCCCAAATGGTTAAAAGTTGGAGTATGCATGGAACTTCCAGGTCAAAAACATGCCAGCCCTCTAGTCCCTTCTTCCATTTCTAGGGGGTTAAAAATGCATATACGGTGATGGTCAACCAGTTTTGGCCATGAAATTGAGAATAACACATTAGGCCAAGGGGATGGTATGGCAACAAGATTGAACATTCAGTGGGAACTTTGTGTAGCAGAGCTATGATACCAATCCAAGAGCACTTACCAGCTTGAACTTTTATATGAGAGAAACATAAACCTCTCATTTAATTTAATCCATGTTTCTTTGTCTAATGGAGCAGCTAAACAAAAATATCCCAAACTAGTAAATGAAGAATGACTTTCCTGGGCCAAACGAAAGATAGTTCATCTCAGCCTAACTGAGAAATGGATGATAAAGATGTTCATGATAATGTGATTGAAAAAAAAAAGACTATTGAATAGCAGTCCAAGAATGAGTCACTGTGGAAAAAGTTGCATATATATGGTGAAATAAGGATCGTGACCTACTCATAAGGATCTTCACAAAAAAGACTGGGTAAAAAACAAGGAGAGATAACAAGTAGCTCTCAAACAAAAAAATAAAACCAAAAGGGAGCCGAATTTTTCAAAATATATGGAAAGATCACTATCCACTACTTTGGACAGAGAGGAAACTATTCCAAGTTTAGGAATCCTTAAAATTTAGACAATATACAAAAATCAAGGTACAACTATATTGTACTTAAAATTAACAAGTATCACAAGTCAGTTTATTTTAGTATTTGGAAAATATTGCATTCATTACTTTTATAATAATCTCACTATAATTAAAGAGGAATAGTTAGAGATATATACCACCTCAATCTTCCTTCTTTGAGCTCATCTTTGAAAAACTTACACATCCTAACAAGCTACCCAAGATTACTTTTTTTTTTTTTTTTGGTACTGGTGATTGAACTCAGGGGCACTCAACCACTGAGCCACATCCCCAGCCCAGATTTGGATTTTATTTAGAGACAGAGTCTCACTGAGTTGCATAGCACCTTGCTTCTGCTGAGGCTGGCTTTGAACTCATGATTCTTCTGTCCAGGGCCACTGGGATACAGGTGTGTGCCCACTGTACCTGGCTTCTAAAATTCCTTTTAAGTGGTTTTACTTAACTAAAAACTAGTCTGGTCTTTTACAAAAAGGTTCCAATGTATCATTTACACTTCTTAGGATTCATAAAATATGTAGACAGACATAGTACAATTCCTTGAGGCATTCTTGAACCTTCAAGTTGGCTAATCACATGCACTTGGTATGTGATTTAAAAATAAATAAAAATAAAAATGACTTAACTTCAATAATGGATAATTATCCTAAATTCTGAAATGGTAAACAAAGTATGGTGAATTATTGCCTAGAATACCACACATTCTCAGTGTTCTTAACCTAGAGTAGCATGCAGCAATCTGTAACCTTGGATAGGAAAAACATTATATATAGTTTCTTTACACTCATCTCCTAATGAAACAGCTTGGTCATTGATTATGCACATAGACAACAGATCACAGAGCACTTAGAAGTGTCTGTGATCTTTGTCATCAATGTACCTCACATCTCATTTTCTCATGTTTTTTTATTTTCATTTCCCATTACAATTGCTATGGTTATCACAAAATATTTTTACATTCATAACTATGTCAAATTGCAGTAGTTATTAGATTCGTAACATATTTCGTTATTTCAAGCACACACATACATAGTTTGTAACTATTTCATTTCATTTAGTTTCCTTTTTAATCTTGTGATATTTTGTGCATTTCAAACCTTTTTTTGGAAATGGCTATATATAAATATAGATACAAATATAGGTATAGGTATAGAGATAGATATAATCTGGATTCTCAGAAAGGTACCAGCAGAACAAAAATCTTTAAGAGTCAATATATTCCACTCACTCTTGCTATGTAAAATATTTAGGCTGTACCTCTTATACAGCAAGCCTTTAATAACTGTAAGTAAAGATTATGTTTTATATTCCTCATTATATTTTTTCAAATTGCAATATTTTCTGAAATGGCTGTTACAGAAGTGCTTTTTGCTTTTCATTTTACATAAAGAAAATTTCATTGAAAATACTAATCATTTCACTTACTTGCAAAGATCGTTAACACAGCTGGCAATATATAAGTATGGATCAATATATTCATGGCAGCTTAGGAAAGGAAACTGCAACAGTATCTGACACTTGAAGAAGATTGCCTGTGGGGGAAAAAAATCCAGTTGTCAGAACATGTTTTTTAATATTGTCTCTTTTCTTTTTTGGTAATGGGGTTTGAACTCAGGGGCACTCAACCACTGAGCCACATCCCTAGCCCTATTTTGTATTTTATTTAGAAACAGGATCTCACTGCATTGCTTAGTGCCTTGCCATTGCTGAGGCTGGCTTTGAACTTGTGATTATCCTTTCTCAGCCTCTGAGCCGCTGGGATTGCAGGTGTGCACCCAGCTCGTTTTTGTTTGTTTGTTTGTTTCTTAAGTTGCCTCTTTTTGTTTTTTAGAGAGAGAGAGAGAATTTTTTTTTAATATTTATTTTTTAGTTTTCAGCGGACACAACATCTTTGTTTGTATGTGGTGCTGAGGATCGAACCAGGGCCGCATGCATGCCAGGCGAGTGCGCTACCGCTTGAGCCACATCCCCAGCCCCCAGCTCGTTTTTTTTTTATTGTTTGATTGTTTGTTTTTTTGGTTACTGACCAATCTGCAAGATTCTTTGATATCACCAAGAAAGAGAAGGTAATTTGTACTTACAAACTTTAAACAATAGTTTTCTAACTATATATTTTCATGATGAGAACATTTATTAAACTAATTATATTCACTATTTCCAAAATTATCTTAAAAGCTGATCGCTATTGCAATTACACTTCCTGAATTTCATATTTTTAATTTTGTTGTATCTGCATTGAAAAGCCTAATATTAAATATACAAATATAATATGGCTATATTATTTCCAAATGCCTAAATTTCTATATAAAATTTACCTCAAATGCTGGCATTCCACTGGAACATGGATTTGGGAAATCTGAGGGTGTGGGTACACATTTGGTGTCCTCTGAAGTTTGCACCAACCAGCTGTTTGCAAACATAGCAATGTCTTCCGTATAGTCCTCTATTTTACACAAACACACACACAAGCAAATAGACATAAGCATATCATTTTCTACAAACATAGACACCATTTTTAAACATTAATTTCCTGGTCAAAAAGATCAGCTCAATAATATAATTACCAATGTGATATCAAATTATTACTTTAGCATGATAAAAATAAACTGAACAAAATATAAGTACCAAAAAATTTTAATAGCATTGTAGAGAAAAAGGAAACCCACTGGAACCACATGAGGAAGGATTAAAAGTGAGCTTGTCTGACATACACACCCAGACAGTGATAACTATCCAGCATTCAGTTTAGCGCTGTATAAAGGAGAAAACCTATGCACAAACTTAAAAAATAAAAATAAAAAATAAGTAAAAGTTTGGTGTGAAGTTTTTCAGGCATCTCTCGTTCCATTTTACATTAATCAGAATCTTAATAAAGTCAAACTTTCATTTTTAGGGCCTTTAACAATAAAAAAATATTGTTGAGCCCTTTGGGATAGTTCAGAGAACAGTTACATAAACAATGAAAGACTAGAAAAGACACCTAAAAACAGAGACAATTAAGAAGGGACTCTGTGATAAACAGTGGTTCTAAAATTGCTCAGGAAAGAGCTCAGTACCAAGAATCCTGAACCGATTCCAGACTTACTCAGAGGGAAGATTTAGGAGCTCATATATGGGCCAACAGACATTTGATGGTGAACACTTTGGACTCTTGGCTCCAAATCTACTTTAAATGGCTTACCAAACCTGACCTGTGTACAAGTTTAAGACCTGATATGGAAATCGATCCTGCCTCACATTCACACAAAGGCTTTCTCAAGTCTCAGGGACTTGGCAGAACCTGGGATGTCATGTGGAAGCTTCGTTTAACACTGTTGGATGTTAGATTTGAGCTTTGGGTTCTCTACCACTCAGATTGGCAGGACTATAGGTCCACCACCAATGGCGGTGTACTGCACCACTGAATGAATCAAAAATCTTAAACTGAATGTTTCACACTGTCTCTGATCATCTTCCAGATAGAAACATAATGTCTGCATGTCTCTACAAATATTGTGAAGATTAAGTTCACTATCTCTAAGAATTTTTTGCTCTCTTAGGGCACACAGCTCCAAACTTCACTGTATCCCAGAAGACTGAGTAATCTGGCCTCGGCACTCTCCCTACTTCTCTCCACAGACCTCCTACATCTTTTTCTCCCACTCTCACCCTTGTTCAACCTCTCCAGTCTTCCTGGCTTTTTACTGCTCTTCAAACATTCAGACTCATGCCAACCTCAGGGTACTTGTTCTCACTCCTCCTTCAAAACTACTCTTCCCTCAGATCTTCCCTCTGTTCCCACTCTTAATGAATTCAGACCTCTTTGAATGTGACTCCATCACAGGGGCCTCCTTTGCTACATGATCTAGACTAACGTCAAACACACACTTGTCCTAAACCTCTTTATCTCCCTCCCCCACCATCTTTTTTTCATGGATGCTATGGCTCGAAATATATATATATTTGTTTTCTCTATTTATTATCCACCACAATATGGACCACATGAAAAGAGAGATCGTGTCTAAGCTGTTCTATTGCTGTAAATAGTTCAGTATCTACCATATAGTAAGCAGGTGCTCAAAATATATTTGCTGAATGAGTGAATTAAAAAAATATAGGAAAGTTTGCAATACTTATTAAATTAGAATCCTAGAGCATTCAAACTAGTCTGGACCAATTCATTATCTCTAGTTGGAAATATTACATATAGCTCAAAGGATAGGCTTGCTCTAATATACTAATTTTGAAATTGATGTTCTTTTTCAAGAAAATCTTTTTTAAAAAATATTTATTTTTTCAGTTGTAGTTGGACACAATACCTTTATTTTATTTATTTATTTTTATGTGATGCTGAGGATCGAACCCAGGGCCTCGCACATGTAGGCGAGTGCTCTACTGCTAAGCCACAACCCAGCCCCTTCAAGAAAACCTTATATAGTCACATTTCATTTTAAATTATCATTTTTAAAAATATAAAGAAAAAGTCACACTTATTTTCAATATTTTTTCTAGCCAATCAACACTTTATTCTTCCAGTTGACACCTACACAGATAACTACCATTTACCCCTTGGTCCCACCAAGGTCCCATAAGAGTAGGTTTCCTTCTTCCTTCCTAGAACAGTAAGAAAACCTCTTGTCTCAACAAGACTGGTACATGCTCACCAACCCCAGCACTGTGAGACCCTGCTCTCCTGCATCATGAAAAAGCCAAAAGAGGGCAAGGGTGCAAATTTCAATGTTAATAAACCAATTAGGCAATCCCTTTGAGATCACTTCAATCCCAGCTTTTAAGTCACTTAGCTATTTTCATTCACTACATTGCATTCATAAAAGATCACAAAATTTATTTCAAAAACTTAAATCCATTTCTATTGGTGGTCTGGGAGCTGCTGAACTAAAATTAAAATCGTTCATATGAAATACGCTGTAAGTAAAATAGTTTATTATTCATATTGGGACACTTTCGATAGTGAAGAGGAGACACTATTAAATTATTATGCTGGGGAAAATGAGAGCAAACCAGGGCTTCTATGTTGGTGCATAGTGAGACCCAGCCATAAATTATGGAAACAGAATTCTCAACTAGACAACAAATTTAAAACTTTGTATGTGCACAGAAATTCTGAAGTCTCATTTCTTTATGAAGTCATCCTTGAAGGATGAGTAGGAATGCAGAGAGAAAAAAAAAAGTTTTAATTACTGTTAAGAAACTGCATTCATTGACATTCAAACTGTCCAATTCTCTCTAAAGATTTTTCTAATCAGCACAGTACAGGCTGAGTTTCAAGAAAATACGAGACATCTTAAAGCTAAAGATAATACAGCTCCTCTACAGACACTTTCTTGCACTTTTATAATATGGAAGGAAATGGACAGTTTCTTGTCATATTCCCACAAGCTGTAAATTAGATATATATTTTTTTAAATTCCCCTGCCTTACACTGTGTACCAAATAAAATTGTGAAGAAGCTAAAGTCTCTTTGAGGCCTCCTCCCACATACCTTCAAAAGTCTTTGTTTTCTACTAGTTCAACCATAACTTAGTTTAACTGCCTCCTGCCAGTTTTCTCCCACTTCTAATCTGCTAACACCCTTCTGCCTCCTGCCCCAGTTTTCTTGCTGAAAAAAAAAAAAAAACTATTTTATGTTCCAGGTTATCGGAATCTGGCCCTTCACTTAGATCCCTAATCTGAGTCTCCATGCCTCTAGCAAGAGCAGATGCTATTTTCTATTCTGACCCACACCACACTCACCTATGTCCCAGGGGATCACCCAAGAGAACTGGACTGAACATTGCTTTTTTCATGAAGCTTTGATACAGAAGAAAAATAAATTTTAAAATGACCCTCCCTCTGATTTTTTCTGCCTAAGTCAAGACCTCAATTCCTAGAACAGTCAATAGATTCCAAATTTACGAACCCTTTCCTTCCAAATACCCAACTGGATGCAAAATACTATTTCATGATGATCCTAATACTGTACATTTGTATTGTGCTCACGAATTTTTGAGCACTTTCATTTACATTTTCTCATTATATAGGCACAGTCTGGGATGCTCTCAGGGTCATTACTATTGTCTCCATTTTATGTATAAGAAAATTGACTCCTTTGAGTCCTGCTAAAATAGCTCCTGCTAAACTAATCCTGATGCTGGATTATCCATCGTGGGCAAAATGTTTGCATTTTAATGAGGGCTTCTGAAAGCTATGTAAGGACGTTTTCAAACATTTTCATCTCAGCTTCATTACAGTCGTGTTGAGGAATTCTTAGAGATGATTATAAATAAAATGTATTGAGTATTATCTACATGCCAGGCACTCTAATAAGTATTTTACATGGATTGTCTCCTTTAAGCCTCTATGAAGCATTTGTAGTATTACATCATTCGCCTTAGGAAGTTTAATAAATAGCAAAGCAGAATTTGAATCCTATAGTCTGATTCCTAAGCCCATTCTCAAAGTGGTCCTTTTACTTTCTCTTAAAACACAACGTAGAGGCAACACATATCTATTAATTTTGAAAGATAAAACAAAAAGTATCATGTAGTAAATTACAGTCTGAAAAGCAATTGCTCCTGTCTGTAAACACAGGGCTGGGAGACAGTCAGGTATACAGCATCTGTAATCCAACCATAACAGTATCATTTACAAGCTATGTTACATTGGGCATATTACCTTCAAAGAGCATAGAAGGTAATACCCTTCTATCCTACCCTGCAGGATGTTGTAAGGGTTGGGAACAATGTAACTATATGTTCATAATTAACACTATGACAAATAGTACTAAGGTTTATTATTATTACTAGTAGTGGTAGTAGTATTGGCTACTCTATAATTTCAGAATTGTTATATTCCTATTTTACAGCTGAATAAACTGAGCATCTGGAAGCTTAAATGATCAAATTATAGAATTTGTTAGAGTTGGAACAAGATTCAAAGCAAGGTCCACGGATACTAAGAACAATGTTCTTTTCTTGCTGCATCTGTGTGTGTGGACATAAATCACAATTATGGCTTGTGGCTCTCATATTCTATTCCCATTGCATACTAATACCCAAATTGAAACAGATTCCATTTCTAATAACTCACAGAGGTTAGTTTTATGACTTAAATTTAATAGATATTGGGTAGGTATGTAAGCCCTTTCTAAGTTACTATTCAGTTTTTATAATCCTGTCCGTATTTCATTGTATTTTTTAACTATTATTTGTCACTGATTTAATTTATTCTTATTAAGATGAGATACAAAATGGCTTTTATCCTGAAATAGATGTTTGATTCAGAAGGGTGTCACTCACTAGAACATAAACTCCAGAAGCAGTGGGATCTTTGTTTTGTTCACTGTTGTAGCCCAAGTTCCTATAGCAAGAGATACAGATCTATCCCATGCTGCTAACACAAAGTAAATGCTTAATTAATATTTGCTATGGGAATAAGTGCTTCATTTTAATTTAGCAATAGCTACAAAACTATCTCATAGATTTCAAGAATGAGACAAAAATGTTTAACTGTTCACTTCACTTAAAATCACTGAAGCAGGAACAGGGTAGCCAAGAATTTTCCCCAACCTGTGACAAGTCTTCAGGGTACTAACTGCTTAATCAGTGAGGGATGAAGACTCTAGAAAGTACCACACACTCTTCCTGTTCCACTTACCTTGCTGAATTATGAAATCATCAGACTGTATATCATTGTGGTTTCCACACAGGCCACATGATTTTCCACTATGCTCCTCAGACAGTTTGAGGTAAATTCCTGATATTCCATCCCAAGCCAAAGAAAAGCCAAAGGTGGTTTTCACCAGAATGTAGTCAGCTAGTTTCTCAATGAAAACCTGTCCAATTGTCTGAGGCAATGTTAAACTTGAAAAATAGAATGAAGACAATCTAAGAATATGATAAAGGATCAATTATAGATGACGTATTTTCTTCTTGTAATAATAATTAAAAGACAATTGCTACTCAGTTACAGAATAAACTATGCAGTGAGATCCCCAAATGCTACTCAGTTACAGAATAAACTATGCAGTGAGATCCCCAAATGCTACTCAGTTACAGAATAAACTATGCAGTGAGATCCCCAAAGTAATCACTGTATGGGAATCTCAACATTTTTTAAAACTTTAATATTGAAATTAAAATACAAGGAAAACAATCATCTTTTCCCATACCAATTTGGAGTCTATCCTTACAACTGGATTCTTCCTTTTTTTTTTTTTTTTTTTTTTTGAGTGAAGGGGGTGGGTACCAGGAATTGAACTCAGGGGCATATCCCCAGCCCTATTTTGTATTTTATTTAGAGACAGGATCTCACTGATTTTCTTAGTGCCTTGCTGTTGCTGAGGCTGGTTTTGAACTTGCAATCCTCTTGTCTCAGCCTCCTGAGCCACTGGGATTACAGGCATGTGCCACTGTCCTGACTGGATGCTTCTTTTAATCAACCAAAACTGCACACTTGCTAAGTATCAGTAATTTTTTAAAATCTGCAAAGTAGCTACCTATTTAGAATAATGAGGACTTAAGTGATGTTTTCTTTTTCCAGAGAGTTAAAAATAATCTAAAATGCTCAACAATTCTGAAGTCAAGACAAACAATGGTCAAAATATGCAAATATATTCAAGTTCTAACTTTCTTTAATTTTATTTTCAATGTGGCTATCAGGAAATAAGAGTTTCCATTATCAAAATATCACCTTAGCATAAACCATTGTTTTCTAAAAGAAAAATGTCTCAGAATAGTTAATCATACTTACATTAGGAATGTAATATAATTTTTCATGTAATATTGCATAGACTTTTTCCTAGGTTTTAAGGTGGATACAGTGTGGCCCATTTAAACAAAGGTTAAATAAGATATTTAAACTCCTAATCTAATGTCTAATTTTTCCATTTTTCACACACACACACAAAAAGTGTGCTTAGGAAATCAGAAACATAAGGGAATTGAAGAAAACTAAACAACTGGACATGTAAAAAGCAAAGTCATCTAGGAAACATTTAAGAGAACACTGTTCTCCCATCCATGAGTATTGCTGAAAAAAACAGTGCTGATAATTAAGGAAACTGGAAAAAAATTTATTTCTGTTAAGACAGCATGTCAAAATAAAATCACAAACTATAATGTGAGTAAAATGGTGGTGAATAGGTATATTCATATACTTCTCTCAAAAATTTCAAATTAGTGATTTCTTCCCATAGAGCATGGATACATGCAACAGACACTACAAAACCAAACATACTAACACATGAAGGGACAATCCCCAAAGAAGCAACTCAAAATGTCTGTAACCATTTGCACAAAGATATTTTATAGATAAATATTTACAAAAAAAATTTGTTATAACATAGGAAAATAACTAAAAACTTAATTGGAGAAAAAAAAGACTAAATTTGTTTTTATGAAAATTATAAATATGAAGAATTAATAAAGTCAGTCTGAAATAATATTGAATATTATTTGCTTGAGATTGCAAGTTTATAAAAACCATACTTGAAAAAGTAAATCATGTTTTATAAACATTTTATAGTAATGGGATGCTAATTGTAAATATAATTACTCTGTTGAGGGTAATTTTTTTGTCAGGTTGTCTGTTACTTGGTTTGTTACTTGTTCTGTATAATAGATAATTTAATTGTATACACAACTCTTTTAAAAAAAAAAGTGTACTTGTGCTTATTTGGAAGTTTATAACATGGAAGTATATTAGAGAAGATAGGGAATAAAAATTAGAACTAGATAAACTCCAGTTAGTCTAAGACAAACCCCAAATGTGTATAAAGTTCTGATTTTATTTTATAATAGAAAAACATTAAAACGCAAGCTAAAATAAATACACAGATTAATGCTAAAAAGTATTCACGGATTCATTTCTACCAAAACCCCTTATTTCACAGTTGAGAAAATTAAAATCCAGAGAGATATGGGTTAATGTGCAGAGCCACCATATTTGAGTTTATTTTAGCAAATATTTCTGTTGCACTTACTGTGAGTTAGGCTCTAGGCCATAAACAGCATTAATATAAGCAGCATTGCTGAATAACAAGAAAATCATTTTTTCTATCATGTAACTGGAAATCACCATAGAAATGCTTTCTCCTTATTAAAACTAAATATATGCCTTCCACTTAACAAAGGGTTAACCTATCTGAATGGCATCTCTGTTTTACAAAACATGTAATTTTTAAGTGCCCACTATATTATCCAAATTCCCACATACAGCATCCTAAATTAACTATTTAAATTCAGCTCTAGGAAATACATGTTTAACTGTGCAATGCTTCCCATTCAAATGCTAAGTTTTTGTTTAGAAGAAAATAATCAAGAAAATAAGCCTAGAGAGATGGAGGGGCTATTCCTGGTTGCAACTGTGACAAAGCTCCTTGGTACTTTGTCAGAAGCCCTCTCTGCTACTGCCTGCTGCCTCTTGAGGAATGTAAACTGAGAAAAGGCATCATTGGTTGGTAAAGCCATTGCTCTGGAAAGAATCCTCATTGTTCAAAACGTGGTAGTGAATTCTGAATGATGGATGCAATTGTTCCAGCCCCCAATTTACTTTTTCTGGCATAACTCAGCTAGGAAATATTTAAATATTTAAAAGTGTCTCTGTAATTATTTAGATGGAAAGGTAGTTTATTCCCAGTATTTCTAGTTTTAAATGCATAAAACCTTTTGCAAAATATATAAATATACACTCCCCCAAACTCTTGGGTCATATTCTTGGCAGACAGGAAGCCAGAAGCGGTTGCTCTCTGATCTATTCAAGAAGGCCAGTTATTTATTGTCTCCGAGTCTTTGTCAGAACTTCAATGGAAAATCTCAAGTGACACCCAAACTTCATTCACACAAACTTGGAAAGGCCTTCAATTATCATTTCAAAAATAAAACAAAATAGATTTTTGTAAGGTCCTGCTACAAAGATAAAGAGGAAATATTTAAGAAAAAAAATAATCAGGAGTTGAATATAAAATAAAATAATCAGGAGTTCAGTATAAAAATTTCTTGAATTTCTCATTTAAAAAATATGATAAACTTATCTGTACCTGTGTAAATATATTTCTGTCCTGCACAAGAATTAGAAAGGTCAAACTGGTAAGATTCCTGGCTACCTGCTTGGCCTTAGATTCCACTGAAGTTTTCATATCTCCCATACAACGGAAGGGTACTGTTGAAGAAAAATCTCTTCCTAATCTCTACAATTCACTTCCAGACTGAGATATTTTAAAATTCTGTTAATCTGTTGTATCATTTTTATTATATCATTTATCATACATTACCTGATTCCATCTTTTTTAATTTCATGGCCATAAATTCGAATTTCCTCTTGGTTTGAAAAAAATAAGCTGATTGACCGATAACAAGTATACACTGAACCAAAGCATCTAGGACTATTATGAACCTTTAAGGGAGAAAAATGGAAAAAAAAAAAGCATAGGAACCAACAACAATAACAAATGAAATCCACTTGGGTTATTAAAATCACAATGCATGTTTATAGTTCTGTAGCTTCATTAGTCCCAAGACATTCTACAAAGCTATATGACATTTGTGAATATTGAGAGAAAAGAAATATTTACCCCACAAGCTGGACAACAGAATTAACTTTCTAAATGCAAATGATCAGAAATCACAGTGAATTGAACTTCAAAATTCTGAAAGTGTTTTTCAAATTATAATTAATATTTCAAAAGTGTTTTCCCCCCATGCATACTTTCCAGGAAAAGAATCTTTTTTCAAACTTAAAAAAAAAAACTTAAGAACTAGTGAAAAGTAAGTTAAAAAAGAAGAAATGAATCCCTGTTTAAACACCACTGCAAACACTGGCTATACGTTCAGAACATCCAATAGGCTTTTCAGAGCCTGTCTCTCAAGTATGAATACAGTTCCCAGTTCACTGGAGTTTCATTAGGATCCAAGAAATAGTAATAGCAACATAGAGAGGGAACAAAATTCTCCAGGAGGAGACTGAATAGAAATCCCACGTGGTAGATACACAGTGGCCTCAAAAGAAATCAGTAAAGGAAATGCAGCAAACAAAAGATGGGATAACTGTTTACTCTAGGAAAATGTACAAGAGAAATAAACTCACTCTAACCTATTGGGTGCAGCTCTAAGCAATGCTTACATAGTGACTCCAATGTAACATCCATATGTTGATTGAACCAAAAATAGTGATATAACTCTATTAGAAGGAATGAAGAAGTGGGGGTATATGTGTATGTGTGTTTGTGTATCTGCAAGTGTATCTGTTTCTGTGTGTGTGCATGTAACTAAGTGTTAAAGTATGCTGTAATTAAGATGATTCCTCATTTTCCATAAAAGGAAGTGAATACATAAGTTCTAACTTTCTAAAAAATTATTTTAGTTATAGATGAACAATAAAATTATTGTTCTACATTTTATTTTATTTATTTATTTTTATGTGGTAATGAAAATTTAATCCAGTGCCTCACACATGCGAGGCAAGCCCTCTACCACTGAGCCACAACCCCAGCTCCAAATAAGTTCTAACTTTTAAAAAATAAAGAAATAATATCATATCTTTATGTAAGATTAAAAACACAAAGAAAGAGTTTCAAAAGTTGCCTCTGTGGAGCCAAACTGCAACAGGAATGAAGAAAGGCCAGGTATAGTGGCACATGCCTGTAATCCCAGCTACTCTGGAGGATGAAGCAGGAGGATTTCGAGTTCAAAGCCAGACTCCATGATTTAGTGAGGCTCTAAGCAATTTAGCAAGACTAAATAAAATGTAAAATAGGCTGGGGATGTGGCTCAGGGGTCAAGAGCCTCTGGGTTCAATTCCTAGTAGCAAACCAAAAAAAAAAAAGAAGGAAGGTAGGGTTATTTTTTGCTATTTTTATGAAATCTTTCAAATTATTGTCATGTACTATATTCATAAAAATAAAATTACATTTAAAAAGAAAAAATATCAGAAGTATAAAGAAGGAAACTGCATAAATAGTTTTTTTAAATACTGATCTTAAAAACCAAAATTTCCAAAATGGGACATCATTAAATCATTTGGGCATACCATGAATTGAAATGTATACAGCTAGTAAAAATTATGTTTGTTAAAACACTTTGACATTTAAGAAAGCTCTTGATATAACATTGAGTAAAAATTTAGAATGGAAAAACAATACACAGTGTAATTTCAATTCTATAAATCTGTATAAAATGTAGAGTAAAAAAAATCCTATAAAGAAATATATGAAGCCATTAGCAATGGTAATGGTAATTCTTGACTGATAATCCTAATATTATTCTTTTAGACTTCTCTGAATCTTCAAATTTTCTACACTTTGTATTATTATCAAAGGATGATGAACTAGTTGATACCTTAGGCCTCAGAAGAGTAAGACACTGGACAAGAACATTTCAATGAGAAAGTCAAAGGAGTTAAGTGAATACCAATATAGAGAAACAGGAATACCAATATAGAGAGAGAAACCTATTGGGAGGAGGGGAAGAGGGAGTCAATGACAATGAAGAAGCTAACAACAAGAACTCTGTGAGCACTGAAAATGCATCCCACTAACTTTCCTATCTAAAGACACCTCTAATTTCTTAGCCATAGGCTCCACACTTTCAAAGGTCAATATACCTCGTTGCCTTTCTGAGTTGCAGACCCAGATCCCTGAATAAAGTTTCAGTTCCTACTTTTTAATATTTGCATCATCTAAGACAGAAGAAGAATTTAGGCAACTTCAACATATAAGTTAGAAGGAAAAACAATTAGCAGGAATTTAAACACATATTGGCTATGAAAAGATTTAGCTTTTAAAGCAGGACTTCAAGCCGTTTCTTGGTTGTGCTTTGAGATGCCTAGAAATTCACTAAAGGATAATTCACAGGGGAATTATCTTACTTGAACTAGAGCTACTCTGCAATTTGAATCTTGAGATGTCTCCTACTTATTCATTTGAATAAGTAGTTCTGCATCTAAGAACTAATTCTCTGAGCTCCATCATATAATATTAATCTAACTAACAATTATGTAGTTTGTATACGCCAATGAAGAAATGTCAGCTTCCAGTCCATACTAAGAATGCTGGTTTGGTTTGTTTTGTTTTGGTACTGGGACTTGAACTCAGGGTTAAGTATGTACCCCCCTCAATTAAAGTGTCAAGAAGGAAATAAGTGTAAGCAATAGGGTTGGTGATTGAACCTACCCCCTTTTCAATAATCAAACAAAACTTGAAGATTAGAGATGATGACTGGTGTTGACATCATGACATCCATAACAGACACTTATGCATTGCCTATAAGATCCTCCAACAGGGATTCAAACCCTATTTCTCACAATGCTAGGCCTCATCTCAATAGAATTATACTCAATATAATCACAAATTTGGTCTATCCATTAAAAACAGAACCCTGAGTAGTCATTCTATTATTATTATCTATTCCCCATCATTTGTCCAGTTCTTTTAAGGATACACTTTTCCAGAAATAATTTTTTTAAATGAATATATTCTAGGATCACCTACCCATACAGTGTACCGAGGCTCCAAATTACCACAGTCCTTTGCAAAAATATAGGAACAAGTTCCTGGAAAGTAATAGTAGATGCCATCAAATGTTTCAAAATGATATTGTCCCCAGGTTTTGCAAATACCATCTCTGCCAATGCCCATGTTTGGGACTGAAAAGAAATAGGAAAAAGTTCAGTAAAATGAAAGAAATTAGTTGCCTCTAGTCATGTTCAGTTATGATGATTCTAATTTTCAATGAAATAAGTATTTTCTTCTTTGGTAGTTTCTATCACAAAAAAAAAACTATTATGAAATTACTAGATGCTGTCAAAACTATCAAACTTTTAAAGGAAAAACAGGGTCTTCAATTTGTTCTGAAAAATGATTGATATTAATTTTTACTTCCAAAAGGAGAGTGTAGGAGAAAGGAAGACCAAGGAAATGATATAAGAAAAGAAGGTGGTGCTGATAAAGCAAATATGTGGCTCAGAAAGGAGAAATGTCACCATTGCCTGTCCTAAAACTTTGCATAGGTAGCATTAGAGTGTTCCAGTCTCCACAGTTCTTTCAAAAATATTTTTATGGTATTCGAAGAGATACCATATTGACCAAAACAAAATAAAACAGCATTAGTTGTTCAAAGTTTACTGGAATTTCAGAAATCATGACCTCAGAGTGGCCAAATCTCAAGCAATATTCATCTTATATGATACAACTTCATTTCCTGTGATCATCATATCTACCCTCGTAGATATTCTGTTTAGTGCCTTTTCTTTCTTTTTGTAATTTTTACTTAAATTTACTGTTTCTAGCCAGTAAAAGACACAGGATGATTCTTTTTTTTTTTTTTTTTTTTTTTTTTTTGAGACAGTCTTGCTAAATCAGTTAGGGCCTTGCTAAATTGCTGAGGCTGGCTTTGAACTTGGGATCCTTCTGCCTCAGCTTCCTGAGCTACTGGGATTACGGACATACATCACCATGCCCAGCAGGTGATTCACTTTTAAAGCAGTCTTTCCTGCCAGTGCATATTTTCTGTGGCATATTTTCATTCATCTTGTACTTTTCTTTATAGTACATGTCACAAGTTTAATTATTGTGTATCTCTTGTATATAAGATATATTTCTAGACTGCAGCCTCCAGGAGAACAGGAACATGTCGATATTGTTCACACATGTATAGCCTTTTGCCTACATTGGGATCTAGTAAATGCTCAATAAATATTGATTAAATGAAAATTTATTGATCATATTCACATAAGATCCTATCTTAAACACTATAGATAAAAACTTAGAAAAAGAAAAAACTCCCCTGTTTTGAAGAACTCTCAATTATATTACAATATTTTTGTACAGAATAATCAGTTAACTCAAATTCAAAAAGAATGTGTGGCTCCAAATAAAGAATCTAACTTACAAAATAAAAGAGAGATGACTGAGAATTTATTATGATTGACTAGTAGTGTATAAAGTGTAAAGAATACTAGGAAAACATTAGAAATCAGCATGAAGAAAAAGTATGCATATTTATTTTATTTTACATTGTTTCAAAATCATTTCAAATCACTGAAAATAAATTGTCAGCTCTCTAGTTAATATACAACTCCCAATGGATGAACACTGCCATAACAAAATTATGCCTTCATGTTCTTTTCAGCATCCCATAATTCTCTCACAAATATCCCTGACACTTACTAATCTGGCACCTTGTCCCAAGAGCTTGAAATATTTGACAGTCACATGTACCAGTCTTAGAACAGAAAGCTCCGTTAAGGCATTCATGAGGACAAGAACCTGAGGAGCAAAATAATAAGTTATTTTCTGGCATGCATGGGCTCTTATAAACACAATATGTCAAGATCCAACTTGGACTAACTGTAACCACCATAAACTTAAATAGAACCCTGGGCCTCTTGCATTGAGAAGCTAAAGAATTAAACCTATCAAATCTCTATCTAGCTCATTTCATTATGTGAGCTGTGAAGCAAGAAAGACAGGCTTTCACATCTCAAACTACTCTGAGAGCAAAGGTCATCCTCCTTCAAGCAATTGAAAGGTCAAGTTCCCATGTAAGGAATCACTGTCCCAGATGATGAGAACCAGAAATACACAAACTGCAGAGGATTCCATTGATGGAGTTCAGCACCAGCTGCACTTCCGATCTGCTCCTTCTCCAGGAGCAAGCATGGTACTGAAGAATGGTATCAGCATTTACTTAAGGAATCATGAAAAAAAAAAAAAAGGAACTCCTACTATTGAATAGAATGATTAAACACTGCATTCAAAATTTGTTTATTAATAATCCTTAGGCTCAATATAAATGAAGCAATATCTCTGGAACCTGTGCTTAATATTGATGAGACCTAAGCCCATGTCACTGCTGGCTGTCACCAAAAGGATTACCTTTTGTGGAAAGAAAACTTGCTCCAAAGATTTACATTAAAAAAGAGGAAGCAAGTCACCATGAGCTCCAATCCTAATTTTGTTATCATCTTTGGAGTGGATTTAAAAAATGCAAATGAATCACAATAAAAATTTTTCTTCTGTTAAGGAGAGGACAAGAGGCAACTGGCAAAACTCAAGCAGGAAGAACTTAAGTCACATATCAGAGGAATTAGAGAACATCTTTGAGTCACCATAAAGTATTACTAAAGAAGTTGGGCCCGCCTGGGATATGTCAAGTTCATGGAAGACACTCATCTAACTTTAGTAATTTAACCACAGTTCTGCCAGAGACAAGAATGAGAAAATCCTATTATTACTTTCCAACTTAAGATTCATTGCTATCTGTACAGTTTAAAATGCACAAATCTCTTCATAAATCCTTAGTGAGTAGAAATGAGCTGTTTTACCTTAAACTATAAATATTGGTGAAAATTATGTTTTTCATAAACTTAAAAGCAGTTTTTTCCTTAAGGTGCACATTTACCTTTAAAGTTTATCTTAGTTACAGTCTTAAGCTTTACCAATGAATATATATTTAAATATTTAAGTAAACAAATGTATCTCCTTCAAAATTTTATTTACACTCCTGTTTGTTCTCCTGAAAACAAATAGCAAACCAAAACTGGTGAGGATCCATGTGATTTTAAACATCATAATAAGAATTTCTATTTTCTAGTTTCCTCTCAAATTTTAAACTACTTAAAGGAAATGTGAAATTATTACTTAATTATTAAATGATAATTAATACTTAATTGATATTATTTATTATTTAATTATTATTATTATTTTAAGCAAAATAGGAATGTCAAGGAATTAAGGAAAAAATAAATGATGCAGAAAAGGGGGTTTTGATTCCCAGTGACATCATTCCAGGTTTTATGGGTTTTGTCTAAATGTTTAGCTCTGGTTATTTTAAAAAATAATTTGAATTTCTATAGGAAATGAACTTAAGTTATTAACTATTATTACCACCCTGGTTTAGTTTCCTCCATGAAGTACATGGAAACAATACAGAAGTGATTCAATATTATCTCCCAAAGGGACCTTTTGAGAAAACAAAACAAAAACACAGGTATAACAACTGACCTTTTATTTTGCTCTCACCCCAGTTAATAGCTTCATGGAAAAAATATCTTGGAGAAGTTGCTTCAAGCTTTGAAAGAAATAAGAATTATTTTTTCAAGCCAAACATGCAGATGGAAAAATCCGGAAAATAGCTACAAATAGAGAAATGATGAAGTACTGACTTTGTATTTCCATGGATTATAGAGACTGTCTCAGTGAGGCAGAAAGGGCTCCTTCAGGGTTGTAGGTAGATGACCCGGTTTCAAGCCTTTGTTTGGGTTCTTCCATGACTTTGACAAGTCATTTGCCTTCTCTGCTCTCATCCTCACTTTGCTTCCTCATTCTCAGGCCCATCACCCCCTTGGGAAAGGAACCTGGCTGGAGCCTAATCTGTGGATTAATTGATTGCTTTGCCTGCAGGAACAGCAGTTCTCTGACATTTCCAGGTGCAGATGGGGCTAGAAAAAACTGCATGGGGCTAATGGACCAACAGTGGGTGCTGTCTTGCAAACTGAGCACCAATCACTAGCCACAAAAGCACCAGCTGTTTCAGAGTCGATGTGTCACCTTTAGCTCCAAAGAGTTGGCACTTTAAAGTTCATGGAACATTAAAATACATCTCTTTATAGAGCCTAAGGTAGTTTCAAGTAAGGGTTAAAAGCATGAATTATAGAAACAAACAGACCTGGAGTAAAGTCCTGACTCTGTCATAACTTTACACTTTGGCAAGTTTCTTAACCTCTCAGTGAGTGCCTCCCTTTACTCATCTGTAAAAAGGAAACCATCATGGCACCTACTTCATTTCATAGTTATGACAATGAAGTAAAACAAAGTAGGTAAAGTTTTCAGCATAATTCTTTCACAGAGAAATCAGTAATAAAGGGACTTGTCTCAATCTGAACAACGCTTGTGAGACATCCATATCAAATAATTGTGGATTTAAAACTAATCAATTGTAGATGATTAGTCCAAATCAGTACCAATTGCATATACAACTCGGGCCATATCTCTCCCAATAGCATTTTTCATATTTGACAGAAGAAACACAAACCCCAAATTTGCCACACAATTGTCAAATAAAGCAGCTGATGATGTTGGAAAAACCGGAGAAGGGGAAGGATGAAAAGGAAGGAGGGGTGAGGGACATCATGTGAGAAACGGAGTCCTTTTTCCACAGACTCTGGTCACCTGCCCACATGTGAAGTTTTATTTTGGCATTTTTCCGTCTCAGTACTTTTTCTTTGAATAGGAAAACCTGCTCTATGCTATATGAAACACCGCTGCTTATCGGTGACGAGTCCTGCTTCCTCACATGTTGAAGTTTGAACATTAGAGAAGCACGCTGAGGCAAGCATATGAAGCAGGGTTTATTTAAAAAGGGGTAATACAGACTTCTCCTGGGAGGGAGAAGGGGGCCATAGCTGCTATCCTGGTATCCCAAGAAGCGAGGTGTTCTGCCCTTTTTATATGTCCTAGGCTTCCTTTGTTCTCCTCTTCTCTTCCCCTTATCTCTCTTCTTCCTGCATAGGTGACTAGGCCCAGGAATGCTAGGTGGGATGGCCAAAAGGTGGGAAACAGGTGGGCTGAAGGGGGAAGGGCAGAAGGGAGCAGCCCAGGACCTACATTAATGAACAACCTTAGAGCTCCCTGTCCGGAGGGGCAATTCCTGGGACAGGTTACCTTAGCAACAGGTTGGAGCAGGGGCAGTTTCTTGATAAGGGTGGAGGAAGGGCTCTGAAGGCCTTAATACATTTAATACATTTCAGTCCCTCAGGGGACAGTCTCCAACTTCCTGGACTCACTCAAATTGGCCTCCTTGATCCTGCCTGACTCGATTTACTTACCTATCCTGACTGCCTGTCTAATTCTGGCTTCATTATCTCTCAATATTTGAAGACTCATTTCTTTTTATTAATTTTTTTTTTTTTTGCAGGGTAGGGGTGGGAGATAGCAGGATTGAACTCAGGAGCACTTGGCCACTGAACCACATCCCCAGCCCTATCTTGTATTTTATTTAGAGACAAGGTCTCGCTGAGTTGCTTAGCTCCTTGCTTTTTTGCTGAGGCTGGCTTTGAACCTGCAATCCTCTTGTCTCAGCCTCCTGAGCCACTGGGATTACAGGTATGTGTAACCATGCCCAGCTTGAAGACTCATTTCTAAACTCTTTGACCCACGCCATGGCTCCAAGTTCACTGTTTCCTGTTCACATCCTCCCAGGTTTCATCCCCACTGCTCCATCTCCTCTATTTATCTGTCTTTGCCTCTGTCTACAAACCAAATTAAACTCACAACTGTCTATGACCTTGATTCCACCTGGACAGCAAGTCTTATTTTCTCATCAGCCATATTCTTTCTGGCTGCCTAAACCAAATGTAGTTGATTTTTTTACTGGGTACCAACATCTTCCTACTTTGCTCCCAAATGATTTTAGGCCAATCTTATTAGTGTACGCCAACCAATCATCTCTGATGCTCAACAAATGTGTATAGTAATTTCAATTCTGCGTCCCACATACCCTTGATAAAATTACTCAACCTGTTCAGTCTCAGTTTCCCATTATATAAAAAAGGAATAATAACACCTGCTTCACAGAATTGTGAGGATTAAATGAAATCATAGAAGTAATGCATTTAGTTCCAAGCACGTAACAAGGGTTAGAAACATGCCTCCTATTGCTATTCTTGGGCAAAATGGAATACACTGGATAATATAAGGCCAAGGCAAAAAAATATAATTTGTTTCTTGGCCCACCCAACCCACACTTCCACTATAGACACTGCAATGACTACTACACACCAGCCTCCTAACTACCCCAGCCTCCATCCTATGTATCAGAGCATCATTACCCATTTCACCAGTGCTAGACGTGACACTCAGCATTTTTTTTAAAAAATAAATCTGAACTTAAAATGGCATTTTACACGGATAATTAAGAGCTTTTTAAATTTTTACGTCACAAGGATATTGACAGGTAATTGATGGCATCTTACATTCAATGAGCCAATTGCACAGAAATTACTTCTCTATAACCCTACTTCCACTAGACATGGAGTTTCTAGATATCAAGCCCTGCTATTCTTGTTTATATCTCTAGCATAATGCTTGATATGTTGGCAACAAACATCAACTGAATGGAAAAAAAAAAAAGTTCCCAAGGGTGTTGAGAGTCATGACTACAGCAGACTCTGTTGATGCCCCTTTCAGAACTTCCTCAAATTCACCTTGAAATCTATCTGGGTTCCTGTGCACACTGACAGCCTCTAACTTCAAACCTTAGGTTCTTTCTCTCTCTGCCTGAGGACAGAGTCCAAGCAGGACAAATGACAAATAGTGCTTTCCTGGGTATTTAAAAGTCCTCAGAAGCCACTCTTGACTAGTGAGAAAGAGGAATTGATGCATAAATATTCTAGATTCTCACTGTGGAAATAATTCTAGGATACATGCTACCCAGTTCCTCATAGGGTTCCCAATAAGAGCAGGTACCAAGTGCCTACAACAGAAAGCCCCTCATTAACATACCCTATATTCAATTTTCTCCCTTCTTCCCTTACTTTTGCCTCTCCCTCATCTGTGCACTCTGCAAGTAAATAACCTGCTCCTAAGTCTATGTCTCAGCACCTGCTTCCAGGGAATAGTTGGACTGGAATGCAAATACAAAAATACCCCAGGCATTGGGTGCACATATTCACATAAGTGATAAAAGAGGACAGCCCATTCTTCTGCCTTACTGATTATAACTCCACAGGAGAAGCACCAAAAAATTACAGGCTTTATGTGGGAAATCATTGCAACATCTGTGAAAGTCTGTCTATCCTTCTCTGGATCACTTCGTTGCCAATGTATTTCTGAGTACAGTTGTTTACCCATCAGTGCTGTGTTCTTAAAGCATGTGAGTGAATCAATGGACATAAATGGCCTTATAACACAAGACTGATATCTGACAGAGGGTCGTGCATGATTATGTTCTCATTGACCTTCTTTAACATTTCTTCTTTTTAAATCTGTCCAGGAATATTACATGATTTTGATGCACACTCTCTAGCTATAGAAAACAGAAGTGCAAGTCCCCTGCTCTTTGTTCTCCTTAAGGAGGACATCAAGACAAGGAAAGTGTGTTCCTCACTCAGTATCAGAAAGAAGGTGTTCAGGAAAATTATACATTGAAATGCACAATAGTATAGTCTCATCCATAGGGCACTTTATATGACTGACACCTTCGGAGTATATTTCAAAGGTCCCTCAATCTACTGGATTCACCAGAAAGTTTTTCTCAAAATCAGATTTCTTACTGAGTCATGTGGATGACTTTGTCTAATTAACATAGTATCTTCTAGCAAACATGTACCTTTCCTTCTTAGAGAAAAATCATTTTAACCACTTCACATGATACATAAGTACTTTGTATGCAAAACACTCTCTTTTCTTTTTTTTTTTCAGAGTAGAGATTAGAAATTTATTAAAGGACAGAAGAAAAGACTTCTCCCGGAGGAAGAAGGGGACCCAGAAGGTGGAATCCAGTTAGCGGGCAATGTGTTCCCCTTTTTATAGGTTTGGTGATGGAAAAAAAAAAATAGTGTTTGGATTCTACATAAAATCCTTTGCCCATTCTGGAGGGAAAAAAAAAAAGTCTCTACTCTTGACAAAAATAAATCAGTTTGGTTTCCTAAACTGTAACAACAGCATATCAAATCTGTCATACATTCATCTACTAATTCTTTTCTTCAATACCATAAAATATACAAATGCAGGCATCCATCAAAAAATGCTAGTAGAAATTGTTTGCACTTTAGCATTTGTCAAAGGCTTCCTTGAATATTTAAGCTGTTTGCTATATAAATATTCAAATCACATTACTTTCCCCTAAATGCCTTTACTAAGTTAGGATTCTCTTATTTTGCAAACTATCTCTTATAGAGAAACATTTTCTGAAATCAATTCATTTGAATGTTCTGACTATAGTTTGTAGGTAATGCAATTATGTTACCCAATATCTTTTATATAAAGGGACCCAAGCAAGAAGAGCTCCTCAAATTCAATGTCACCCTGTCCTCTGAAAACCAGTTACCTCTTCAGAGATGCCCACAATTTACATTCTTCAGAAAATACAAAAGCCATCTCTGTCAGGACATCAAGATTTGATGCCCTCCTACAGTATTTAACTTGTATCATTTTTGATCTTTGTCCGCTCCTTCTTGAAAGTATTTGTATTATTGCTATGGTCCTCATTGACATTGTGCCTAACAAATTCAAATTTCCTACCAAGTGGATGGGATTCAATCTTCCATAAATGCTTCAAGCCCATCTGTTAGATAACTAAGATGAAGAGCACACACACACACACAAAAAAAAAAAAAAAAACAAAAACGTATTTCACTTCAAATATGTCAATGAGAACCAAGCATGAAATTGAGGGTCACAAAAAAAAAAGCAGAGAAGTTACTTTGCCTCTTTCTCCCGCTTTCTGTTTTGTTTTTAACATTTTATTCCCCTCTACAAAGGTCTCATTGTTGAAGTGACAGCAGAGTCCAAAGCAGAATGGATTATTTCTCTGCCTCCCTCTCCATCTGAGGCATAACCTACCTGTGCTGCTAAAAGAGCTCTTTTCTGTCGATTTTCATTAAACTCATTTCTAGAAGAAAACAAAAAGAACTTGTATAATCAGAGGCCCCTAGGCAACCTGAACAAGCCTCTCCCAAGAGAGAGCTGGTGTTTTCCTCCTGATTTCCATCACTTTATCAAAGAGGTCTTTCTTGGTTTAACATTTAAAAGGTCCCCCTCCCCTTTTTGAAGGGGTTAGATTTGGGTGGTGGTGCTGTCTCATTTTACAAAACTTAGGAGTGTCCTCAAATCTCTCCAGTCTCTGATGTAAACTGGATTTTAGGAAGGAACTTGGAAATAGAGAAATAAAATAGTGTAATATTGTAGCACCAACCAGCATAATATTTCCACCACATGACTTGGTAAATCTGGTGAAGTCAGTTTTTGCCAAGAGTACACCCGGTTTCTTTTCAATCATAATACTCAATTCTCTCCTGTTCCATGTCATAAAGGGCAGACTAAAATTAATGTGAGTAGGGGCAGCACATTGCTATTATTCAAAACCAGTTCATTCACTAAGGTGAATATTTTTTATGGTGTTTTATATTTTTGTGTTTTATATATATTGATAAAAATTTTTGTTAATAATCAAATGCAGAATAGAATTGGTTTTTTTATTCAGCAGATTAATTTAGTCCAAAAAGTGATTTTCATTATTCAACTGCCAGAACTACTTTATTTTTTTAATCATTAAAATTTGTTTTACCTTATTTTAAGAATTCAGAAAAAAATACATTTGTAATCAATGTGTATTAATAATAAAAATTTATATTACTGCATATAGCCTCTTTACAAATCTTCGAAATAAAAATCTCGTTAGTACCTATAGTTAGTGGACACCACCAAGAACTCTTCTTGTAATTAAAAGGAAATATTTTAGCTTCATAAATAAGGAAATGTATGCCAAATCACTTATAACTTGAGGAAATGTCTTATAAAATTTATTTCATTTTTCGTAAAATATGTCATTCATTTTTAAAAGCAGATACAATTGTCTGCAGAGCTGTGCTATTTCCATTATTTCATGTTTTCGAGGGTAAAAAAAAAAACAAGAAATACTCACTTCGATGTTCCCATCAAGATGGATGATACACAAATATATCCTGCCAGACATAAATATATAAAGATAAGAATGAAAAGCCTACAAGTATCTTGGTCAGTGTTTTGGTTGCTTAACAGTTCATTGTAACATCAATTTCGCTGCTAATTATTTTGTACTTTACAGAGAATTCTGACCAGGACATTGTCTGTGAGACACTGGAGTTAAGTGATAATTCAAAAAGAACAAGCAGTGTACATGGATTTACACAGAGACATAACGCAACCAAGGGAGCACTAGACTTGGAATCAGAGATCCAAGTTATAGTTCCGGTCCTATCATTTCATATTTGCCAGACTTAAGCAAGATAACAAACATACCACAGAATGCTGGTGTTGTGCAAATGGATCTCCAATGTCCCTTCCAGCATCCTAGGACACCTTCTTCATTGGGTTTCCAGTCACTACTAGGATTGGAAGGTGGTGTCTCTTGATCTCTCCTGTGGTTTGCACTTCAATAATTTTTCCCCTTTTCCCTACAATCTCCCAAGCATACAGCCTTTTTCAGGGATTAAAAACTAAAAACTAAATGTAAATATATGATTTCCCCATGAAAATACATCATAAAAACTAATTTATGGGTAAAATTACTGTCAAAAATAATGGGAAATTAATTCTTAACCTCAACTGTTAAAAGTCAGTCTTCAAACAATTTTTTTTTTCCATTTGGGGGCTTGATGGTATGAAGAAAGTTTAAATACCCAATCTTTATTCTAACATAGACAATTATTTTAAATAATCTTTTAGAAGAAAAAATTAACCAGAATTTCTAGTATAATTGCACATTATTGAAGCATGATTCTAAATAGCCATTAAAAAGACACAAAAAATAACAAGTAAAAGGTCCATGTTTTCCATATCATTAAGAATTTTCAATAAGATTACCTGAATGTCATTCCAATGACTTAAAAATGCTTTATTTTAAAAAAACTATTATCAATTGTAAGAGAGGCTAAAATTTGATAAATTAAGGTAAAAAATTAATGTAAGTTCTTACCTTGTAAGGAAAACAGCAGTATATGGAGCAAGAATGTACCCCAAGGTATCATCAAATTGAATTTTCTCACAATGTTCATTTCAGTGTAGACTTTCTCTCTGAAATGTAACCAGATTGTGGGCCTTTACTATAATGACATCTTAGAAGTATGTGTATTTGTAGTGTGCTCAAATTCTAATAAATATAGCTGTGTAACAAAGTAATTTAAAAAGGAATTCCAGGCTTCTAACCACACACAGCATCTGAAGCTTTAGAATGTGCAACAATCCTTTAGCTGGGTTCCTCATTAGCAATGCATGGCAGCTGCTCACCTGAGCTGGTATTAGTTACAGCCCACCCCACACCCGCACATCATAGCCTCTTTAGCCTATGTCTGCCTTTTATGATTTCTAAAGACAGTGGCATCAAAAAGAAAAAACTTGTTGATATCTCCTAATGACATAAGAGATAGCCATTATTCCTAAATGTTGATCCATTCTGTTTTAGATTTTTATTCATAAAAGTGTCCTTCAAAAAAGGGGGAAATAAACTCCTATCAATATTTCCTAAAATGTCTATGCTCATAAATTTTTCTTAAAGAATTAAAAAAAACTAGACTAAAATTATGTGCATATGTTTTCAATTCTAATCCCATTATAGTGTAGCTTAAGTTGACATTTTTATGTGCCCAGAGAGCTTTCAATTAAACATTCCACAATTAAAGTAGAATTTTTAAAGATAACATTATAATACTTGATTTTATAAAGTAAAAAGAAAATAAAGTTACTTACCTGGTCCTGAAAACCTTCCCTTCACACCCCCTTCTTCCATTCTCTGTGACAAATACCCAATTAGATAACAAAGACTTCTTATCCCAGCAGTAGGAGCTCTCTGCTCTAGAAGCAACTGACTGCCTAGATTGGCATCAGAGAAGAGCTCTAGTATTTCATGATGAACTGCACTGAGATGATCAAAGCCTAGGAACACGTGAAAGCCATGCTTATGTATCGGGTGCACATTTACTATAGCAGATTCCAGACGTCACCCACACAGTTATCAGACTGATTTAATAGACCTAGGCACGGTAGTAACGACTCTCTGACTACAAAAGAATTACTTATGAAATATAAAAAGCAAGAGATTATTTACATCCTGTGGTAGCCAGACACTTCTGCAGTGACTTCTAAGTCTTTTCTGTGAAGTGTCCTTGGTATCCCCACTTTGTCTGTCTCAATATCCAAGATGTAAACTGTTTCCTGTTTGTGTCTCAAATTCATTGTTCCTTTACTCTTGCTCTATATGATCTTAATTCCTTTCCATGAACCGGTGGTTGATGTTTGGTGGATGATGTTTGTCTATCTGGGAAAAAGGTTAAGCATGAAAACACAAGTATCACTAAAATTATAAAGTAGCTAGGTACCTGTCTATAAACACACACACACACACACACATACACACACACACACACACTCATTTTGAACTTTTAATGGATAAGTTTAAATAATTTAAGTATAGAATGTGTTTAATACTAATTATTGAAAATTTTATAATCTATTATTCTCAAACTAATTAGAAAATTACCTAACTGTAAATAGATGATTAATTTAATTATTCATTCTTACATTTTGGATATTGATTCAAAACTATGAATCTACTCAATCACAATGAAAACTATAAAAAATCCTAGATTCTTACAATGTAAATACCTCTTAAGATATGGTTTAAATCTACTTAAAACACAATAATTGTCCTAAGAAATTTTTAAACTAAGAATAGCAGTCTACCACGTAAAAAAAAGCAATATTTTACACTGAATATTTATAATCTATATACATTACTGAATCCCCTCCTTAGTTTAAAATAGTTTCCTTTGGCTTTCTAGCTTTGAATATAAGTCAACCTATAATAACTCATATTTTAGGATTTATTTTTCCAATCTAACAACTGCTTGACTTTTTTCTTTGAACTTAAAAATTTATGAGTGACACACATATAGAAAAATCTCAAATGGAAATCAAAGTTAAATTTTATAATTCAATAAAGTTTATATGTTTATAATACAGTTATTTCAAATACTCCTAGAATTTTGTGAGAAAAAATTACTAGATGGCAATATAAAGCCCTGCAAAAGGATGTTTCTCATATGAACGTTAAGAAATTAATTAAAATACAGTAACTCCAAGTTTTCATCTCAAATTTTATGCAATATATTTAAACTCTTAGTTCAAAAGCATACTGCTATTTTCACTGAAAAAGTTGAAAATTCTAATGCTATATTACCTGACATTTTTTATTGCTATTTTTCTGTTTTGAACAGTATGCATTCAGAAACTTCCAGTTCTGTCTAGCAAAGAAAATGACAGAAATTATAAGAGGAATCCTTGAGGTGGCCGTTCTTGCATAGGTAGAGGCTGAGTGTGTGTCTTTTCTCTGTTTCTCCTCCATCTAGTCTTGTAATAGGAAAGAAGTTAGAAAAGAAAGATGGACAGTGACCAAAAAAAGCAACAGCAAAAAATCTCAAGTTCATTTTCAACTAACTACATTATGAATTTGTTACCTGAAATGGCAGCCTACATGAAAATAAGCAAAAGAGACTTTCAAGAATAGCTACAATAGATCAGAGAGCTTAGATGAGAGAATAGACCCAGAGCTACAAAAGAAAACAATAATTTATGACTGATACTAGTCGTAATTATTACTGTCAAATTTTAGTTGACAGCTTATATATTTCATTCTACCCTGACAAAGGAACTTTGGTAAAATGTGAGTCAGCACTAGCTAGTATAGAGGTGCAATTCGCAAGAAGTCTGTAGAGACTACCATGATGCAAACAACAAATAGTTCCCTTTCTGCTAGAGAGCACTGCACATTTTCCCACATGGAATATGATCTTTAGAAAGTTGATACCTGACAGCCTATTGGCCTCAACATACCACATTAAAAATCTAGCAAGAATGAGGAAATTTTGACCTTATGGTATATATGTCAGTGATAAAGGTACATTTTAATGAAGTTCATCATCTCTGAGAAACTTACTTTCTTTGGTGAGTTACATAATACTCATTTACATTAATTGAGATCAAATCTAAACTAGATAACATTTGACTCCCATAATATCACATTCTACTAATGAAATGCAGTTATTCTTCACTTACTTTACTACACTTAACACATTTCAAGTCCTGTGATTGTATCCAGAATTTATGTTACCACTGAGCCAGCAAAAAGAACCCAATATCTCTTAGATGATTTTTACCACTCTGAATTTAAGTGCCTTATTATAAGACAGTTTGTAGTAGTATACTTATACTTTCAGGGTGTATGTTACTTGGTAATTTCTGGGATGTCTCATATAACTTAATTTAGAAGTGGCATTTATCTTAGCTTTTCTGAATAAGGGCATAATTATGTTTCATATATGGTCATGATTTCAATTTAATGTTCATATCCAAAAGTTAATGTGTTACTTTTTATAATGACATTCATTTCCTAATATTCTAGGGTACCACTGATTTTCAATATCTAATTGATACTTTGAAAGGAGTAACATTCCTCTAATTAAAGTTTCCTCTTGTCAACATTTTAGCATCAAGTTCAACCTACATCAACACTCTCTGCAGTTCTCTTCATTCTCTGAACTACCAAAGCACTTTGTATTTGTACGATGTAGTACAATACAATATATAAAACAACAAGTAATAGTATATTGAAGCTAGTTTCTCATGGATCCAGTTTCAGTTTGTATTTTCACCAATTTAATGTGCTAATTTTAGAGTGTGGAGGGAGAATGTGGGAATTTCTCAAGGAGGGTGGTAGTGTTTATAATCCTGCTGTTTGATGTGTTTGCTTCTCCCTGGTTGTATTTTCTTATGGGTTTTGTAATTTTGAATTTTAGATTCATGGGTGGCAGGACATTTTCTATTGGAATTATTTACTTGCCAGGATTGAGGATGTGTCCCTTCAAAAAAGATTTTGTCTCTACTTCTGCCTAGTGTTTCAGGGAATTTCATGTTAATTTTTCAGCTTGAGGGCTCTCAGACCATGGAAAATAAATGCAAATCATAAACTCAAAGTGATGGAAGTTCAAGTCCAGTTTCTACTTTGTGTCTCTGATGATATCCTTTACATACTTGTGAAATCTTCGAACTATTTACATAATTGTTTATTTTTTAAATTTGGTATTTCCAAATATTTTATAACTGTCAAATTTTTAGATCATCCAATCTGCCATGTTGTTAAAAACAAAACTACCAACCATCAAACATGTTCCTTTCTTTGCTAAATATTTTATGTATTTGCTTTTTTACTTTTGTCAGCTTAATTACAACTTACTTAATTACAAACAAAAGCTATTCAAAGTAACAATACATTTATAAAGAAAACCCATCAAAATATCTTCTTCATGGATCAAATTATTTAAATTATAAAACAAAACCTGTCAGATCCCTCAATGTCATGATTGAAGGCTTCCTACAACACAATATACCAACTCAGACTCAGACATCTGACAGTCTGATTTATCACCCGAGCCACTGTAACCGTTGTGGAATGTCAAACATCAGTTTTTCATCTTCCACTACCCCTGAATTGGAAAAGTTGATATAGAAAAACTACAATTGGATATACAGGGTTATTGAGATTTGCAGCAGAGTATAAATCAGTATGAAAACACAACTCAGAAGAAACTAAGCCCTTCTTTTGGTGAGGGAAGTATAAAGATGGATCAATTCCCCAAAAAAACTTCTCCCCTTATCTTGACATGATCTCTTCACCTGTTTCCCTGAATTAGAGTCTTACTAAATTGCACACCAAATTGTTATCTCCCGGAAGCTGAAAAAACCCTAATTCCCTTGGAAGGTTTTATTTAGTTTTCTCTTCTAACAAGATGAATTTATCAGCTTTACTTAGAATACAGTGGAGATTCTCTAACTGATGTATTCAAAAGTTACCTAGGAAGCATATTAGAGGCACAGATTCCCAAAACCACTTCCACTACCTCTCATGTTTTCTGCTGAAGTCTAAAGTCATTAGGCATGTGTATTTTGATAAAGAGAGAATCCAATTTTAAGAAAATAAAATATCAAGCTAAGTGGAAAAAGG